TACTGTTCTGCTTCTATAGTGGGCTAATGAAGACGGGCATACGCCATACAGTGTGCCAGAAGGGTAATTTTGCCCGGACAGCGGCACTATCGCCTACTCTTATATCGAATTCCAACTGCCAAGGGATCTTTTACGTGCATTCCAATGTATACACGGGACCTCGGTTTTTCGTCTCATCCGAACGACTAGACAGCTGTCCTTGTCAGGCCCTCTGTCCTGCATCACTGACAAGGGGGAAACCACGTCGGAAAATACTCGTGTTATAAGTATTAACACCTGTTTCATTACCTTCGTAACTAATTGTCGATGACAGTGTGGTAGACTGAAGGGAGTTATCAGACAATGAATCAATTATATCATCACTATTAACACTAGACTGTGAATGATCAACATTGTTTGATGGATTTTGACAAATATGAGTATCTACTAGCAGGATACCCGGAAGTGGTAGACTAACGCCACCTGGCATATGTTACGTCCCGGTCCGAGCTACCCCTATACCCCAAATTTCAGACTCGGGGCAGACCTAGTGTAGCCGCCAACCCCGAACAGACAGACAAACGACAGTCACAAATATAAGTATCTATTTTAGACGATTTAACAATATTAATATGATTGTTAATAAATGTATAAGTTGCGTTAATTTTTTCTTGGACTTCTACATTGCAATTGGGAGTGTTTACAGTAACATGAGGAGGGACATTAAAGTTATCACATAAATCTAAAAGTAAAGTTCCATATTGAATTTTATCATACACGTAAAGCTCCTGTGGTGGTAGTTCAGCTCTGGACGTAGGTCTCATTACACTCGTCCTGTACGTTCAGGGACTGTCCTATTGGATCCTTGGCGAAAGTTTCGATTCCCAGTCAATTTTACTGGGTAACTGTTCGCGTGTCATTCCCTGTGAACGCCTGAACAATATAACTGAACATCTTACTGAGACAATAAGACCTTGCTTACCTCGCTATATGTCATATATATTTGGAGTTTAGCTTCAATTTAAAGTTTACCAAAGAAATTAAACCAAGTTTGTCATATTTATAGAGTTAAGCATATATATTTTGAGTTGACAATAAAGTCGCAATCGGCGCCACATAGCATTGAATCACAAAATCTTCTACATTGTATTGAACCATAAAAACTTAATGGTCTTATTTCACACACAATATACCAATTGGGGTCGTATATGAAACAAAATATCCCTATATTTCATCTAGAATCAATAAAAAGGGTTTGGGTGTGCTCACTAGTCACGATTATGGTGTGGATGGAAAACAATAGGGGAATTCCCGAATGAAAGCATAAGGTCATCGTGACCTGACTACGACTGATTACGGCGTGAAATGTTCATGACCACGCCCATACCAGACTCTCTTCAAATTGAAGTTTTGGTTTAAACAATATTTATTTGCAATGTTTACAATTTGTATAGCTAATTTACGGTATGTAGGATACAAAAACAAGCATGAAGATGCTTATAAATATCGCTTCCTGAAAATAAAGTATTAATAATGAAGCGGATATGAAAGGTATCTAGGATATACACACATATACATAATCGAACAAAAAAACAAATAAACAAAACATTTTACTTTGAAGTTTTGTGTCCTTGTAGATGTGGGATTTAACACTGAGGGACAAAAGACCTATGGGAAACGTGGGAGAGTTGAGCCACTTGGAGAGTTGGGACACCCAACTGTGCAGTGCCACATAACGTAATTTATCACAGATGCTGCCACCTGTTGGTGCCTTCGGTCAGTGTCTTCTTATTGTTTTAAGTGGCCATGGACCTAGGCATAAAGTATATGATTTCCATGCAAAAAAGGTTTTTTATACAAAAAATTGACAAAGGGGTTAGTTGTTTTACAGTTCTTGTACAATATACATTCTTCTGAAAGGTAGATCTGAATAGATAACTTAGATAAGCATCTATAATGACTCCAAATACAAAATTCTCTGAGGTCATTATAAGTTGAAAAAAAATGAGATTTTCAAATAGGTGACATGAGGGAGGGTTGGGACAATCGTGAGGGGAGGGTTGTGACACTGGCCCAACTCTCCCTCATTCCCTTGTTAATTTCCGGTACCATATCTAACAGAGAAATTGGGTGAACATAACCAGTACTTTGGATGGGATTAAAACTAAAGAACAGTTAAAACTTGAAGTGACGAAACACTGCTGCCTATGCAAAATTTCCCTCATAGCACAGTACTTGGCTTTTGAAGGTAGTTGCAAGTGAAGATTTCCTTTGCCATTTGCCATTCCAATTGTTCTAGTGAATCAGTAATAAAAACAATTATTCTTTACAGATGCCACGTAAATACATAAGAAAAACTGAACGCGGTGTACCTCAAGATATTTTAGAGCGAGCCAAGATACAAGTTTAAACAGGGTCCAATATTAGAGCAACTGCTAAAGACTTTAATATTTCAAGGATGACCCTTAAAAGATATATTGATAAACCAGGCGACGTTTTTGGTTTCAAAAACTGACAGTTAAAAAACATGATTTTTTTCTACAGATATGGAAGTTGAATTAGCAGAGCATATTAAGGTTTTGGCAGTCCAGTTTCGTCGACTAACCAGAAATAAATATCGATCCATGGTTGTGGAATATGCGACAAGGAATGATATTATTGTACCAGAGTTGTGGAGAACAACAGGAATGATAGGGGAACATTTTTGGCAATCTTTTAAGGAGAGGAATAACTTGACAATTCGAACACCTGAAGCCACCTCACTTGCCCGTGCAACAGCCTTCAATCGTCATAATGTCAATAAATTTTTCGACAACTTGGCACAAATTCTTGATGAAAACAAATTTCAGTGTAATGACATATACAACTTAGATGAAACTGGCTGTACTACTGTGCAGCGACCTGAAAACATCGTAGCTGAAACATGTGTTAAACAAGTTCGATCTGTAACATCTGCAGAATGAGGTCAACTAGTAACTGCAGTGTATGCTAAAAATGCTGAAGGAACAGTCTTCCCCCACTCTTAATATTTCCCAGAAAATATTTCAGACAACACTTCATCAAAGATGGTCCACCAGGCTGTATTGGAGCAGCGAATCCTAGTGGATGTATACCAAGACGATTCTACTGATCTTAGACAATCATGAAACCCATATATCTTTAAGATCAATTGACTTTGCGAAAGCCAACGGGGTCATTTTATTGACTATACCACCACATACAAGCCACAAACTTCAAACATTAGATGCCAACTGTTTTAAACCATTCAAACCCGCCTATGCCAGGGCAATAGATAACTGGGTGCGCTCCAATCCCGGAAAAACAGTAACTATTTACGAAATACCCGAGTTCATAACCCATGGTCAACTTAATGGTCTGACGCACTAGAATAATGTATCAGGGTTTAAACACACCGGTATATTCCCTTACAACAGGGATATTTTCAGTAACTTGGACCATGCTCCAGTTTCAGTAATAGATCAAGACATAATTACAACAGATATGCCTACACAACAAAAAGATTTGGATCCTGAAGATGACACTCTGCCGAATCAAAAATATCAAGAAGATACACAAGAAGCCACAACTAGTAAAACACCCAGTTCAAAACAGTTAAAATTAAATGGTTATGTTTCTCCTTCAGAAAGATAGTTCCATCGCCAAAAGCTGCACAACGCAAAGCAACTAATCGAGGGAGAAAACGAGGTGATACAAAAATCTTGACAAACACTCCAGTGAGAAATTCTATAGCTGAGAACTTATTATCAAAACAGAATAGGCCCACAAAAAGAAAACCAAAGCAACTAGTGACGACAACAACAAAACGATCATTATTTTAGGCAAGCCCTAAGATGTCTTCTTCAAGTGAAAGTGAACTTGACGATTTTGAACCATGTGACAGTAAAACTGATTTCGAAGAAATAATTGAAGGGGATTTTGTGGTAAAATTTGATACAAAGGGACAAAGCGTCCACTACATAGTTCGAGTAGATGTTGTAGATGGTGATGAGTATGAAGGTGTATTTTTGCATCGAGAATTCAGCCGTTTGCAAAGAGAACCAACATTTGTCTTAAATGAAAATGATGATGCTTCATTTCCCAAAAATGACATAGTCATAAAACTTCCAGCACCCAAACAACTAGGTGGTACTGAACGACGGGAGGCCAAATTTGTATTTGCATGTGACTTCACAAAATGGGACTTCCATGCAGTGTTAGGATGTTTTGTTTCAATTCATTACATTCATTATTTTATTAATATTGATCCTTCCAAGTTTACCAGAATAATAAAAATTATCATATATTACCATAATGTGATTTTTTTTACTGTTTGTTATATTCCGTTCATGCATTGAGACTACTAGACAAAGTAAATTATATCAACACCTTACATGTTCATTTATGGGAATTACACTTTCTGGATGCTCCTTGACAACTCTCTTTCAATGGTGGAATAGCTACTTTATCCAGTGAGTGTAATCCCTATAATAAGAACAAGTATTAGTTCATAGTCCACTGCCTAAAGAGGCATAATATATTCTAAATTTACATGTTACTACTGACTAGCAATATGTGTCTGTTTATTGTTTAAGCTAATGTGTAGAATTCCTTACCCCAGCTAATGTCTACCACACATATGCACAACTCTCCCCAGTGTGTGTGTGTGTGGGGGGGATGGCTGAATGGTGCTGTATCATGAAGTCTGTCACTGAGTCGACTGGCGTGGTTTCGAATCCCCGGTTGTACGTGACAAGGAGTAGGGTCGCCTGTCCAACCTCGTGGGTTTACTCCGGGTCCTCCGGTTTGCTCCCGCAGCTAAAGACCCCTACGCGCAAGCGAATTATTGAAATAAACTTGAACCATGTGTTAGTCCCGAAATGACCTAGTTTGTGTCGAGTGGACGTTAAACCCCATTTCACACAAATTCAAACAAACTAAGTAAAAGTCAGGGTGAGTTGTTCCTGATTGACCTAAAATATAGTAACTTTCTCTTATATATGTATCTACTGTGGAATATAGTGAAGTTTACAAAGTGACCCAACTCTCCCACGCTTCCCCTACTATCTAACCGAACATCAATTTTCTATTTAAACTGTTCACGTGTTTTCCTCTTCTACTTTTACTTTCATTTTCCATTCATTTTCAGCAGCCCGACACGTATACGCCTATAAATATTAACGTTGTTCATTTTGAGGACAGCACATCTCATGTGACGTTTCGAAGAAGGTAGGTCAATCAAAGTAGCAATAACAACAAATCTGATTAATTATAAATGTAGTAATAATATTTAATATGGTTCAGAGTCTCGTCTAAGGATTTGGTCGTGCTCGGCAATGTCTGTCGAAGCCCGACCCGCGAGCACCGATGGTGCGAGCCGCACGAACATCGCAGGTGAGAGCCCGCGCGGGGATTTGGGGGGCCCAGAATATTTTGAAAATTGACTTCCTTAGACTCGATTTCTGAGCACTTCAAAATAGTTTCGGAGATTTGATACACTATTAGTTTTGGCATCTTTTTAAACCATGGATTGATTAATACCCTGTAAAATCGAGATCAAAACACTGCTGCGGCTGACCCGCAGACAGAAATATACCCATAAAACAATCAGAAAGACGATTTTGTAAACCTACGCACCATGATATAGTATTGGCACATGGAAAAAACCTTGTCAGCGTTTTTCAAAACGTATGTATATGTTGCCGCCCAGTCTTCAACTTTTGGGCTCAGTAGGTGGCACAGTTTGGCCAGTGCGCGGCGGCGGCGTCGCCTAGTCACCATGTTAAACGAGGCTCTGATATGGTTGTAATATCTAATATAGATGTATCAAAATTTTATATTTGATATAGATGTATTAATATTTGATATAGGTGTATTAATATTTGATATAGATGTATTAATATTTGATATAGGTGTATTAATATTTAATATAGGTGTATTAATATTTAATATAGGTGTATTAATATTTAATATAGGTGTATTAATATTTAATATAGGTGTATTAATATTTAAACATACATTATGTAAGAGCTAAATCTGCCTGTTGCAGGTCTTTCTTTTGGTCTGAAATGTTTTCTAAATTATTAATTAGACATTAATTAACTGATCCAGCCCATTATCAACTCTCGGTGGCATCGGATTGATCCGATATTAAATAGATTAGAACAGTTCAGCAATATTTTGATTTAAGCTAAAAATGGAGGGGCAAGACTTAGCTTCGAACAACCAGTACGGTGGTTGGAATTATTGCACACGTCTTATCAAACCTTCAAAGGTTAATATCTCCGCTCGCAATAGAGTAATTTGAATGAAATTTTCAAATTATTCATTTTACATTTATCTATTTTCGAAATATTATAGCAAGACAGGCTAGCTTTTTATCTAAATCTTACATAATGAATCTTTAATATAGGTGTATTAATAGTTAATATTGATGCAATATGTATTATAGATGTAGTAATATTTAATATAGACGTAGTAATATTTAATATACAAAGTAATATTTAAACATACATTATGCAAGAGCTAAATCTGTCTATTGCAGGTCTTTCTTTAGGCCTGAAATATTATCTAAATTATTAATTAGACATTAATTAACTTATCCAGACCATAATCAACTCTAGATGGCATCGCTAGCCTGCGATCTTAAGTGGATTGTTAGCCGATTTACTGCATAACTTTCCTTCTCGATTAAATGACTAAATGGATAATCGAGACTATGCTGTTTATCGTACTGACTTTAGTAATGATGACCGAGGCTAGGCAGAAATGTCATTCGCTTAGTTCTCGGTTCATAGTGGATCAATTTGAATGAAATTTTCAGCAAATTGCCTTTACGTTATCTAGTTTTTAACTATTATAGTGAGAACTGCCAACTCGTTATCGAATCTCCTATAATGTATCTTTAATATAGATGTGGTTATATTTAATATACATGTAGATGTAGTAATATTTAATATAGATGTAGTTATATTTAATATACATGTAGATGTAGTAATATTTAATATAGAATGATGTAGCAATATTTAACTTAGATGCCGTAATATTTAACATAGATGTGGTAATATTTAATATAGATGTAGTATTATTTTATATAGATGAACTGTGCACCACTGACAAGGGGAAACTACGCCGGAAAATCCCGATGCACTTTCTCGGCCAATGCAGGATCGAACACACGACCTCCAGGCTAGCGAGTCAGTGTCCTACTCAATTAGCCACCGTAGCTCCCATGTGATGTAGAAAATGAAATGCAATGAATTTAAATGGGGTTTAACGTCCTACTGTTCTGCTCCTAACCTTGGCTAATGAAGACGGGCATACGCCATACAGTGTGCTATGAAGGAAATAATCCCCGGGCAGCGGCACTATGTCCTACTCTTATATCGAATTCCAACTGGCAAGAGATCTTTTACGTGCACGCAAATATATACACGGGTCCTCGGTTTTTCGTCCCATCCGAACAAACAGCTGTCCTTGTCAGTCCCTCCGTCCTGCACCACTGACAAGGGGAAACCACGCCGGAAAATCAGGATGCACTTGGGAGGTGAAGTGGGGTGTAACGTCCACTCGACACAAACTAGGTCATTTCTGGACTAACACGTGGCTCAATGTTATTCCAATAATTCGCTTGCGCGTAAGGGTCTTTAGTCGTGGGAGGAAACCCGAGGACTCGGAGAAAACCCACGAGGTTGGACAGGCGACCCTACTCCTGGTCACATACAACCGGGGAATTGAAACTACGCCAGTTGACTCAATGACAGACCTTATAATACAGCGCGCACGTGTTAATCATTCGTCCAGCCCCCCAAGTGGGAGATATTTTGTCTTCTTTCAGAGAATTGACCTTTAATACTTTTAGAAGTATTAAAAGTTGGGTCAATCGATCACTATTCGTATTACAAAAGTTGTTACATTCTTATTGGAAATAAATTATCGATTTCAGAAAAAGGTTGGAACATGAAGACTGAACTTGAAGTTTTAACTGTTGGTATTCTTATCGTGGGTATAATTGTGGCACTAAAGAAAAAAGAGTGGCTATTGGCTGTTATAAGCAAGAGACGATTCACAAATATGTAAATTAGGGCTTAATAATATGTCCAATTGCTTTCAAATTGTTGATCAAACTAATCCGTAGTGGATCAACTGTATCACTAGAAGGTTTTGTAACAATGACAATATGTTTACTGTCCTTTTGGTAAACTATTTTATGGTTAAAATGAACAAAACGAAATGGGATTTAACCATGGGGGGGGTGCGAAAGGGGGGGGGGCATGTGGGGCTTCCAACCTGTTACAAATGACCGGAACTTGGGTAGTATTATTCCACACTACATCAAACATTTATAAATAACGTAGAGACCTTGATACGGAGAGTTATATCGGCGAAGACCGTAACGTTAGGACATACTAACTGGTCGGGTCGATTTTTGTGGAACGTCGAACACTATAAGATTCACCCGATAATACGAGATTTAATTTTTCTGCGATATTACCTCGGTGGAAGCGGTCATTCAAGTTAAAATACAGATGTGACGTCATCCTTTGATAGTACGGACAGTGTGCCAAGCGTACATTATTGATGCCATTAGAAATATTGAACCCGCGTGACGTATTTCATTGACTAGCAGGGACTGGGTAGGGTCTATATTTTAAGTTCTTTAGTGGTCTGGTGCAAGACATTGTACAATATATTATTATTATTATTATTGTTCGATTTATATAGCGCTTCATTACACGTGAAGTGTTTCTAAGCGCATATCACAAACATATACTTCAAACACACAGAAACAATCAAAATCAGGAGAACATAATTAAACACAGCTGCCTGTTAGGCGCTATTATTCAAAGGTTTATATCCAACAAATCAACCGGCTAATCTCTATATTGAGGTATTTTGTCGAGGTATTACCTAATGAACACCTACACCAAGTAGAGTTCAAAAATAAAAAAACGAAGTTTAAAAGAATCAACTTCATTAACAAAAATTAAACAATCAAAAACTAAACAGATAAATCAAATTCAAACGAAACAAATAAAACAAAGAAAATGAAAAGAGCAGTTCATTACCATTCTACATTAACAAAATAAAGGAAATCAACTTGTGAAATTTTTTTCAAAACATAAGAGCAAAGTAAGACTAATGTTAATACTTTTTTAACGAATATATCATAAATATAATTAATTTTACCTATAATATCTATTTCAGAAATCAGACTTTATCAATCAATTACAATCAAAATGTTTATCGCTCTGCTTACCCAGAGCTGAAAATGCTCATTATCAAACTTAGTGAAGGTATTGATGTGATGAAACTATACACCAAGTTAATTAGAACCAAAGTTATCATGTCCCAAAGCATCGATAAAAGATCTAATTTATAATTTCTATGACATCTGAAGCCTAAAGCTTATGGGCTCACAGGCTTCAAATGATACATTAATTGGATTTTGAGACACATATAGTACCAACTTAATAACTACACCATTACTTTATAGTAATTCTCAGGAATATTATCAAGTCATATATACTGAGCGCCAAGGAAAACGCATCACTTAGTTTGTCGTATAACAAAATATCTTATTTATTTTGCTTCATATTGTGAACAATATTCAAATGGGAACACATCAATAACAACACATGTGTACACTTATGGATTTTTAATGTCATACAGCATGTTATAAGGGAAATTTTGCCCAGACAGCAGCACTACAGCGTACTTTTATTGCAAATTCCAGCTGTTAAGCTTGAGAATCGTACAAACGACCATACATTGTCCCTTGCCAGACCCTGTCCTGCTCAACTGACAAGGGGGAAATCACACTGGAAAATCCTAAAGAATTCTCTCGGCAAAACACTGGGACCTCGAGTTAGTAAACCAACATCTTACTAAGCCACCGCGGCTCTCTAAACCAAGAACAACATCCCTATCGTGATCTATCCACTAAAATTAATCTCAATTCAATGAAACAAGCCAATCTCTTAAACTAGAATCCTAATGTTATTCCAGATATTTCATCCAGAAGAACAAACTAATTATATAGATATAGCCCTCGTACTATCGCACTCGTGCAATATCAATATATTACTTAATGCCTCGCGCACGACCATTAAACTACACCTATTTTACACACACACACACACACACACACACACACACAAGAGTTTCAATCAAGAAATCAGACTTGTATAGTATTCCAACTGCCAAGAGTTCTTTTACTACGGCCTACTCTCATATAGAATTCCAACTGTCAAACGTTCTTTTACGTTATCCCTTGTCAGACCATGTGTCCTGCACCACTGGCAAGGGGTAACCATGCCGGAAAATTCCGAAGAAATTTCTCGGACACGGGACCTCAAGGTTAGTGAGCCTACGTCTTACTCGCTGAGCCACGGTGTCTCCAGGGATGCAGAGTAGTCCGTTAGTTTGTGTTTTATTTTTTTCAGTGTTTGTGGCCTTCTGTCTAGTTAATGCTTGGTATATTTCTACTGTTAGTCAAGTCAGACGGAAGATTCGGAACACACTGACAGTAATTATTATTGTATTCCTGTTGGTCCTTTTGTTCATTTTTCAGTACTGGGAAAAGTTAAAATCGTGGGGATTTGTTAGTAAAATGTAAATAAATTAAACATTTGTGTGTTATTTTTATGTTGACTTCATTGACATACCATGTGACCTGATTGTCAAATCAGATTTAGTTGCATTGTTATGTTCTTTTATTTTGTTTGTCTTTAGTTTCGTAATGGTCTTATTTCACACACAATTTACCAATGGGGTCGTATATGAAACAAAATATCCCTATATTTGATCTTGAATCAATAAAAAGGGTTTGGGTGTGCTCACTAGTCACGATTATGGGGCGGATGGAAAACGATAGGGGAATTCCCGGATGAAAGTATAAGGTCATTGTGATCCCGCTACGACTGAATACGGCGTGAAATGTTAATAACCATGCCCATACCAGGCTCACTGCTCACGACACGATTATGGGGTGGATAGAAAAACGATAGGGGAATTCCCGGATGAAAGCGTATAGTCATTGTGACCTGACTACGATTGACTACGCCCATACCAAACTCTCTTCAAATTGAGGTTTTGTGTCCTTGAAGATGTGGGATTTAACACTGAGGGACAAAAGACCTATTATCTATGGAAGCCTATAACTACCATTCATAATTTCTACTTTTCGCCTCTTCAGAACACGAAAGTCGAAAAAGTCGAAAAGTAGAAGTTACGACAAAATGTGAGGCGACAAGACGGTATACAAGTCAAAATCAACTCGAAAATAGGAAATTAAGAAATAACACACCGCGATAATAGCGCCCCCCGTTTTTTCTTAATTTCTACTTTTCGACTTGCATTTTGGCTTGTATACCGTCTTGTCGACTTTCGACTTAGTCATATTTTTGTATTTATTGATGTCAGTAAGAAGGCGCCAACACGCTATACAAGCCAAAATGCAACTCGAAAAGTAGAAATTAGGAAATTAACACACTGCGCTATTAGCGACCTATGTTCTGTCGTACTGTCGACTTTTCGACTTTTCTACTTTTCGACTTTCGTGTTCTGAAGAGGCGAAAAGTAGAAATTATGAATGGTAGTTATAGGCTTCCATAATTATCTAACCGAACATCAATTTTCTATTTAAACTGTTCACGTGTTTTCCCCTTCTACTTTTACTTTCATTTTCAGCGAATCGAAAATATACGCCTATAAGTTTAAACTTGTTTATTTTGAGGACAGCACATCTCATGTGACGTTTCGAAGAATATTCTCGTAATGTTTTCAAGTAAAGAAACAAAAGGTAGGCCAATCAAAGTAGCAATAACAACAAATCTGAATAAATATAAATGTAGTAATAGGGACAAGGTAATATCTAATATAGTTGTATCAAAATTTAATATTTAATATAGATGTAGTAGTAGTATTTAATATAGTTGTGGTTATATTTAATAGAGATGTGGTAATATTTAATATAGTTGTGGTTATATTTAACATAGATGTGGTAATATTTAATATAGATGTAGTAGTAATATGTACTGTAATATAGATGTAGTAATATTTAACATAGGTGTGGTAATATTTGATATAGATGTAGTAATATTTAACATAGATGTGGTAATATTTGACATAAATGTGGTAATATTTAACATAAATGTGCCAATATTTAACATAGATGTGGTTGATGTGGTAATAATTAACATAGATGTGGTAATATTTAATATAGATGTAGTATTATTTTATATAGATGAACTGGGCTAAGGAAGACGGGCATACGCCATACAGTGTGCTATTTGGTAAGTTTTGCCCAGGGCAGTGGCACTATGGCCTACTCTTATATCGAATTCCAACTGCCAATGGATCTTTTACTTGCACTCCAATGTATACACGGGGACTCGGTTTTTCGTCCCATCCGAACGACAAGAAAGCTATCCTTGTCAGGCCCTCTGTCCTGCACCACTGACCAGGTGAAACCACGTCGGAGAATCTGGATGAACTTTCTCGGCCAATGCAGGGATCGAACACGGGACCTCCAGGCTAGCGACCCCGTGTCCTACCCATTTATCCAGCGTAGTTCCCATGTGATGTAGAATATGAAATGAAATGAAATGAAATGGGGTTAAACGTCCTACTGTTCTGCTTCTACTGGGCTAATTAAGACGGCACTATGTCCCACTCTTATATCGAATTCCAACTGGCAAGAGATCTTTTACGTGCACGCCAATATATACACGGGTCCTCGGTTTTTCGTCCCATCAGAACGATGCACTTCCTCGGCCAATGCAAGGATCGAACACGCGACATCCTAGCTAGCGAACCAGCGTCTTACCCACTTAGCCAACGTGGCTCCCATGTGATGTAGTAATAGCTCTCTATTTCTTGACTAACACGTGGCTCAATGTTATTTCAATAATTCGCTTGTGCGTAGTCGTCTTTAGCAGTGGGGGGAAACCGGAGGACACGGAGAAAACCCACGAGGTTGGACAGGCGACCCTACTCCTGGTCACGTACAACCGGGGAATCGAAATTACGCCAGTTGACTCAATAACAGACCTTATGATACAGCGCGCACGTGGGAAATATTTTGTCTTCTTTCAGAGAATTGACCTTTGACTTTTAGAAGTATCAAAAGTTGGGTCAATCAATCACTATTCGTATTACAAAGTTGTTACATTCTTATTGGAATAAAATTATCGATTTCAGAAAAAGGTTGGAACATGGGGACTGAACTTCAAGTTTTAACTTTTGGTATTCTTATCGTGGGTATAATTGTGGCACTACAAAAAGAGGAGTGGCTCTTGGCTGCCATAAGTAAGAGACAATTCACAAATATACTCTTCAAAACAAGTAGGGGATATTCAGAAACAATACAAAACTGCGGACATGCACAGCTGTTTTTATTACAGGTAACCAGTGTATGTTAATAACAGGCCAATTGCCTGCACATGAACATAAACAGTTCATATGGGGGGCTTATCTGACGGCCCCATTTCATTCTGTGAACATACTCTCAAATCATGTCAAGTGTCCATGACTATTTATCATATCACAACCTGCATAGGTATTTGCAATTCAATATCCCCTACTTTTTTTTGAAGAGAATATGTTAATTAGGGCTTAATAATATGTCCAACGGCTTTCAAGTTATTGATTAAACTAATCCGCAATGAATCAACTCTATTATTAAAAGGTTTTGTAACAATGACAATATGGATGACCTTGGTGTCGCATTTTAATTCTTTTTTGGTAAACTATTTTATGGTTAAAATGAAATGGGCTAAAAGAAAAACATTTCGGGCGACAAATAGAATCATTTCGATACCCGGTCAACCAGTCAAAGAAAATGAAATGGGGTTTAACGTCCTACTGTTCTGTACCGACTGGGCCATGCAGTGGATTATAGAGAAAGTTTGCCAGGACAGCTGCACTACAGCTGCACTGCGGCCTACTCTTACATAATATTCCAACTGTCAAGGGATCTTTTACGTGCACGCCAGTGTGTACACGGGACCTCAGTTTTAATCCAATCTGAATGAATATATGTTCTCCCTTGTCAGACCCTCTGTCCGGCGCCATTGGCAATTGGTAACCACGCCAGAAAATTCCGAAGACCTTTCTCGAACACGGGACCTCAAGGTTAGCGAACCAACGTGTTACTCGCTGAGCCACCGTGTCTCCAGGGATGCAGAGTAGTCCGTGGACTAAATGAAGATTTCGATAGGTTAATAGAATAAAAAGTTAGGTTAGGTTAGAAGTTTTAATCATCGTGTTTTATGTTTCAGTGTTTGTGGCCTACTGTCTATTTAATGCTTGGTATGTTTCTACTGCTGTTAATAAAATCAGGCGGAAGATTTGGAACACACTAACAGGACTTTTTATTGTATTCCTATTGTGTTCGTTTTTTAATATTGGGAAGAGTTAAAATCTTGGGGATTAAATTAAACATTTTTGTGTTATTTTTATGTTGACTTCATTGACATACCATGTGACCTGATTGTCAAAATCAGATTAGTTGTATTGCTATGTTCTTTTATTTTGTTTGTCTTTAGTTTTGGACAGGCTGGGTCGACTGGGAGAGGTAGAGCTTACTGGAGGGATGCGGGGCCTACTTGGCACAAGTAGAGCCTACTGGGGATAGGTGGCCTACTGCGGGGAGGGGTATATACTAGGGAAGGGTGGGGCCTACGGCGGGGAAGGGAGGGAACTACTACTGAGATGTGGGACATATTGGGGAAGAGGTCTGGGCCTACTGGGGAGAGGTCATGTGACCTACTGTGGGAAGAGGCCACGTGGCCTACTGTGGAGAGTGCCTACTCGGGGAGAGGTATGGCCTCCTGGGGAGTGGCGGTAGCAGGAGGGTTGTAAAATATACGCTTCCACGATTCCAAGAACAATATTTAGCATATATTAGCATATATTAGCATATATTTAGCATATATTAAAGATGTATTATATAAGAGATAAATCTGTTATGTTACAGCGCGCTCGTGCTAACCATTCAGCCATAACATACTAGGGTTAAACATAAGCATGGAACTAATTAACAGTTTCGCCGTCCAACGTCATCCCTATCCCACCCAAATTACCATTGGTGATCTAAACTATATCCCCAAAACCACAGCACCGCTTGGCCTATAAAGGGAGATAATATCTCTAGTAGTCAAGCAGCTGTTCAAGAAACCTGGAAGTATAGTCAACCTAATATTATTTGATGGATTATATATCTTCAATATTCCTCCAAAATGACGTGTCTTCGGTTATACGGCAGGAAATGAAAGCAAAACATCGGAAATGATGATAGTTTGCGATGTCTAAACATTGTTTTCTACTTTATAAAATGGTATTTTAAAATTACATGGTAGTTTAATCACTCGTAAAAAGGCATAGCCATTGCAACTTCCGCGTATTATTATGTCTGTTACTGTAGATTCAGAATCCAGATGATGCCAATTTATGGGGAAATTGTAATATCCAAGATGGCTGCCATGCTGAATTGTCGCGTGGATGATCTCGATTCTCTTTATCTCGTGAGTCAATTATTTTTATAAATAGTTCTTTTCGCACAGATATCCTGTCGGTTTCATATAACAGCTATTAGGTCCGCTTTCCATGTAAGCGTGCGGTTTTTGGTACAGACATATCGCTGAAACAGCATCGAGCCTGACATTGTCTACGTTCAGTCGCCGCATTTTTATAATCACACCATGTCCATAAAACTGCTTTTCGCAAGCTGAATTCGCAATAAGAGCGGTTGATCGACACAGTGGAAGAGAACCAGTGATTATATTCCGTAAAGTAAACATCCGGCTGGGCAAGCATCAGCAGTCTGCCAAGACTGACTGCCAATGTCATACACCTTGGAAGAAATGAAATGGGGTTTAATGTTCGACTGGGCTAATGAATATGGGCATACAACAGTGTGCTATGAGGGGAAATTTTGCCAAGGTAGCAGCACCATGGCCTACTCGTATTGAATTTCAACTGCATGTCAATGGGGATGCTCGATTCACAGTCCGGAACGTCCCAAATTGACAGAATTGCAATCGAGTGACGCGGAATTCAGTCCTGGCGACGGACGTGGTGTGAGTAGAATTGTGACATAATTAAACACGACGAACGGGTTTCGGCGGCATGGTTGGATGAGATATTTATATATCCATTCGACGCATGCGTTGTAGCCCGAAGTACCCATTTTCACTCGATTGTCACTATTTTTGGGATTGAGAGAATTCAATTACGCCCAATGTGTATACTATACCCCACCTCGGTTTTTGTGCCAGCCAAACAACTGTCCTTGTCATGCCCTCCGTCCTGCACCACTGACAAGTGAGGAAATCGCTCCGGAAAATCTTGACTTTCTCGGCCAATGCAGGGATCGAACACGCGACCTCAAGGCTAGCGAGCCAGCGTCTTATCCACCGAGCCACCGTAACTCCAATCTTAAAAGACCTCCGCCCCATCGTTGTCAGATCTTGAGGCTCTCGGTTGCAGTCCACCTACAGCATCTTATCCACTAAGCCACCGCCGCTTCAATCTTAGAAGACCCCCTTCCCCCTCGTCGCAAAATATCTCGGGGCTCTCCGCTGCAGTCTGCCTATTGGTAAATCCAATCGGTCTGCAGCCCACACTAGTTTTAACCCAGTAAATTTGTATTAAATCCGTCGAGGAGCCACAGGGAAGAACGATCTAAGTCACTTTTTCAATGACACCATCCGGTAGCAAATTGTACAAGCTTTCTGTGGAACACTCAATTTCAGGTAAAAATGACCCGAGTCACATCGAAATGAAATGGGGTTTAACGTCCTACTGTTCTGCTCCTAACCTGGGCTAATGAAGACGGGCATATGCCATACAGTGTGCTGAGGGAAATTTTGCCTGGGCAGCGGCGCTACAGCCTACTCTTCTGTCGAGTTCCAACTGCCAAGGGAACTTTTACGTGCACGCCAATGTGTACATGGGACCTCGGTTTTCCGTGCCATCCAAACGACTAGACAGCTGTCCTTGTCAGGCCCTCTGTCCTGCATCACTGACAAGGGGGAAACCACGCCGGAAAATCGGGATGAATTTTCTCGGCCAATGCAGGATAACTGGTTAAAAAAACGGGCTATAGGATAAATCAAAACACAAGACTAGTTTATATATTTTGATTATTTTTTCTTTTTTTATACATCTACACGTAAAACCACATTTTTCCTCAATTTTACAGGAAATTTATTGAGATGATCGCCAGTTAAAATGCCAAAAAAAATATGATGTACTGACATTAAAATTTTCCTGACTTGTGGAAGGAACGAAGAATAATTACACCAAAAAAAAAAAAGAAAAAATATTTAATGATACATGTATTACAAAATGATATAAGAGGCCAAAAAAATTTAAAAAATAATATTTTCATATGCGTAAAATGATCCAGATGATTTTAAATGGTCGCGATTTTCCCTCCATGATAGCAAGAGCAAAAAACTAATCTATTTTTTTTAATGATTTTTAAATTGAATCCACAATCAATATGGCGGAGCATTAAGAGTCTAGAAAACAAGCTGCAGTTCCTTTTTTTTTTAATTTTTTGGAAAAAAAAACAAAAAAAAAACAAAACTGTCAGATGGAGTGTGAACACAGTCTACTCTTTTTCATCCCATCCGATGAGATAGCTTAAAAAAAAAAAATGTCATCTCTCGGATAGAGACACGCACGGTACAAACCACAACTAATTTTAAGTTTGTACCGTTTGAAAACTTTGATTTCAACATTTGAATAAGTTTACTTGTTTTAATTTTAGCAATAAAAATTTGCTTCCTATGTAACAAATTAAACTATGATTTTGAAATCTTTGTCGAGTTCAGCTGCCTCTGTTTTTTTTATTTGGAAAGGTCTCTCTTTTCTTGTGTCGTGAATCCTGTCCAAACCGTTTTCTTCTGATCTTTTCACACGGTTCATCATCATCATCGTTGTTGATAAAGAAAAGCACAAACATTATCAAAAAACACGTTGTTCACATCACATTTTTTTATACAATCAATATAAATCCCGAGGCCTTTATTGTTTTGTTTTTTTGTCACAGTTGTTGCCAAGTGTCAATCTAGGGCATTCAGTGGAATTGTGATAATTTTGGTATGATCCAACGAATACTGAGGGGGTTAAAAATAGAAGCTGAACCGGTTTTTATTTTCAAAGTTCGGTTGATCAAACTAATGAATTGATTAACTTAACCCCAGTTTTGGCCATACGAATCCTGATACCACTGAGCTTCATTTCCCGCTCCGTAACTGCCTGCACCACCGTAGCCCCCGGACTGGTCCAAGGGTTGTTGTGCGATTGGTTGGGTTCCCCACGTATCCTGCATGTTACGTCTCTTTGATTGCCCTAGGTTGAAATCGGCTCCGGCCTTCCTCTTTCCGCCACGCTGTTGTGTTGCTGTAGTTTGTTTCTGCATGCCACCGCGACCCCTTGCTCCGGATACACCACGCCCAGCACCTCCGCGGCCTCCCCTAGAAGGGCCTCGAGCGGAAGGGCCTCCTCTGCCTGGGCCGCGGGTTGGGGCCCCTCGACCTCGCATAGGCTGTCAATAAAAATAATTGGGATATTTTACAAGTTATCTCTAAAAATATTAATCAATTTCGAATTTTACAATTTCTTAAATCAAGTAACAGTATGGTATTCAATATCAAACTCTCTGAAAATATGTGCATTGATTGATGAGTTTACAAATTCTTACATCAAATTATATTTAATTTGCATTCAAATTTTCATCTTTAATGTCCATCTAATTCAAATTGATTACCCTAATCAACGAATTTATCGACACCGATTTTCAAGGCGATTACCACACCTCTAGGTGTGATTTGATGATTTGATCAAAAGATAACATGCTTTTTTCAACTATGTCCGTCCACATGAACTGTTTACAGCTAATCAGTGCATTTAACGAACTCCCCAAAAAGTGAATATACTGTCACATGACATCTCCACAAAATTCAAATCGATTTGGCAAGTCAATAAAAAAGCCTTTAATATCTAATTTCTTGTAGCTCCCTAGTTTTATTTATCTTGATTATATAAACCAAAAGATATTTTATATAAATCTAGGGAGCTGATGATCTACACAGAATGTCACCTGACCAATATTAACAATGGCCAAGAGCTGTTCTGTGATTTAATTGACTTTTTTCGAATTATTTTGGCCACACAAAGGATGAAAGAGGTCCTAACAAAAACTTATACATTGTATTGAACCATAAAATCTTATACATTATATTGAACCATAAAACTTTATACATTGTATTGAACCACAAAACTATACATTGTATTGAACCATGAAACTTTATACATTGTATTGAACCACAAAACTATACATTATATTGAACCATAAAACTTTATACATTGTATTGAACCACAAAACTATACATTGTATTGAACCATGAAACCTTTAACGTTGTATTGAACCATAACTTATACATAGTACTTCTTTAACCAGATAAACATATTTCATTGAGCCAACAAAACCTGGAAAATTGTATTATCTCACAATTGTCTTGTATTAAATTCACAAAACAGTAAACATAAAACTTCCCGTCAGTGTGACCCTACAAATTCATCTTGAAACAAAATCTCAATGATCTTATTTTACACAACAAAATATTCCTGTGATTATAACCAAAACAGGATCTTAATTCAAGGAAGCAAGTAAATGATGCTCTTGGGAAAACTAGAAACCTTAGGTTATTCAAGATATCTCATTTAACGCAAAATGGAATGGGGTTTGAAAGTCATACTTATGCGCTGATTGAGACCAATGTAAGAGAGAAATGGGGTTTAACGTCCACTCGACACAAACTAGGTCATTTCGGGACTAACGTATGGTTTAATTTGATTTACATAATTCGCTTGCGCGTAGGGGTCTTTAGCAGTGGGAGGAAACCGGAGGACCCGGAGAAAACCCACGAGGTTGGACAGGCGACCCTACTCCTTGCCACGTACGACTGGGGATTCGAAACCACGCCAGTCGACTCAATGACAGACTTTATGATACAGCGCGCGCACGCTAACCATTCAGCCATCCAAGCCCCCACCAATGTAAGAAATAAATTTGTTGCTTTCCACACGTGCCAGATTACCATGTAGAGGTAAGATGACTTAGCGACTGGTAGCAGTTTTATCTCCACAGTTTACAGTACTGAACAACAAATAGATCGTAGACCAGTCGTCAAACTGTGGTAATAATGTATTTGTTAAGTGAATTGGTTTAACTTAAGACACCAAGGACTAGAAATTGGGCATCAATTAGACATAGCTGTTTTAAAATGTGACTACCAGCTACAGAAAAATGAATTTAACCATAAAGTTGGGAAGCTCCTGAAAATCGGCAAACTGATAAATGAAATATGGTAGAACGTTCTACTTCGATGATCTTTTAGAGGCATTTAGTAACTGGATAGAGCAATAAACTATAACACATACTTATGGAAGAACAATTACTGATTTATTTGGGCGACGTTTCGAAGAGTATTCTCTCACCTTTTTCAAGCAAGTACAGTAACAAATGTGTAGAGCAATTATATATAGACAAGCAATAACAACAATTCAGAAACCATGCATGACAACAAGATACAGTATGCTATAAGAAATTTTTCCCAGACAGCAGCACTACAGCATTCTTTTATTGCAAATTCCATCTGTCAAGCTTGTGAATCATTCAAACGACGATACATTGTCCCGTGCCAGATCCTGTCCTGCTCACCTGACAAGGGGGTAATCACGCTGGAAAATCCTGAAGAATTCTCTCACTGGGACCTCTATGTTAGCAAACCAACATCTTACTGAGCCACCGTGGCTCCCTAATCCAAGAACACATCCCTATCGTGATCTATCCACTAAAATTAGTCTCAATTCAATGAAACAAGCCAATCTCTTAAACTAGAATCCTAATGTTATTCCAGATATTTCATCCAGAAGAACAAACTAATTTTACGCAATTTTTTTTTTTACACCGACAGCAAGGGTTTAATGAATCGAACAGTTTATCGTGTTCTTATTTTCCATTTAAGAAAAACAAATTTAATATAAACAAATCTTGCTTTCACAAATGCAAGCCATGAAATGGGATTTAACACCTGGTTTTTGAGACAAATCACAAGAATGAAATGAAATGTTTAGTGGCACTTCAGCTCAAAATCACAAGAAATATATTTGTTGCTTTCCACACGTGCCAGATTACCATGTAGAGGTAAGATGACTTAGCGACTGGTAGCAGTTTTATCTCCACAGTTTACAGTACTGAACAACAAATAGATCGTAGACCAGTCGTCAAACTGTGGTAACAGGACAATATATATTCACAGGATCAAATATATCATAATGCAGTAATCTTTAATCCATACTAGAAATCAAGTTGTGATCCTTTATACAAATGTCAATCTGTTGCTAAACAATTTTCCTTGAATCAAAACCTTTTGTTGATCCCAAAGCAATTATAGTCAGAACTCATGAAATTCTACACCCAAGACAACTATGTGGCAATTTCAATTAATTCAAAAACCATTTCAACATTCCTGTACAATTCAAATTATTTCTCCCATGAAATTCTACACCCTAATCATGATAAACAGCCCTAACCTCTTCAAAACCATTTCAACTTTTAAATCCTAACCCTGTTTCAATCTAAACTTCATAAAATTACAATTCTAGACTCCAACCTTGCACAATATTACAGTCCTTACTAGTCTCCTACATCAAAAATTCAGGAAATTCCAACCTTGACCTCAGACTGTGCCCCCTGGTGGCCAATATAACAGATCCTAACCACGATCTGTTATAAATACTTACGGGTATCATACCTCCACGTCCTCCTCGGCCGCGCGGAGGCACGGGCGCATAACCTCCATAATAATCAAAATCATCGTAACCATAGAAATCATCATAGTATGGATCTGTGGAGAAAAACAATATGAATAGAAATAGACAAAAATATTTATGGCTTTGGTAGCCATGTTGCATATTTTATTTCACAGTTTTGGCAACCATGTTGCATATTTTATTTCCCAAGTTTTGGCAGCCATTTTGCATATATTACTTCCCAAGTTTTGGCAGCTATTTTGCACTTTATTTACCCAAGTTTTGACAGCCATTTTGCATATTTTAATTCAAAAGTCACGGCAGCCATTATTCATGTTCTATTTCACAAGCTTTGACAGCCATTTTGCATTTACTATTTCACTGCTTTGGCAGGCATTTTGCATGTTTTATTTCACAAGCTTTGGCAGCCATTTTGCATATTTTAACTGGATGTTTATTACAGCACAACTCAAAATAACCCAGCCAGCATTGAGGCCATGGGCCACTCTCCCCACCATGACGGTGAAACTATTTTACTAACGATTGATCTTTCTAGTTGTTGATAATCAATTCTCTCTCAACATCAGAAACAGATGCAGAGTCGTAAAAAGATTATCTAATTTTCTATACACAGATAAAACGCCTGAAAAACAGTTGGTGATTTTTTTCAAGAGCTGGACTGTGATTCAAATCCTATAGCCAAGGACTTTTGTTATTTATGAAGTTATGACATGATGCAGGCAATGCAAGGCCTTCAGGCAGCTATTCATGAAAGTACTTTGGAAAATGAAATGACTAGCATGCCACAATAGTAATTTTATCTGCGAGCAGAGTTTCTATCTATTCTCCATTAATGTCATAAACTGAAATTCCCATGCCCAAAAAAATTTAGGTGGAGCTCAGACTTCGTCCCGAACATATGGTACCATAATCTACACCAGACCTCCAGGTTAACTGTCTTACTTATTGAGCCACCACGACTCTCATTACATACAAAGAGAAATGGGGTTTAACGTCCACTCGATACAGACTAGGTCATTTCAGGACTAACACATGGTTCCACTTTATTTCAATAATTCGCTTGTGCATAGGGGTCTTGAGCAGTGGGAGGAAACCGGAGGACCTGTAGAAAACCCACGAGGTTGGACAGGCAACTCTACTCCTTGTCACAACCAGGGAATCGAAACCACGCCAGTTGACTCAATGACAGACTTATGATAAAACGCGTACGTGCTACGTTACATACAAACTTGGGATCGAATACCACACTGACCGAATTATATAAAGTACAGTGTTGGATCATTCAACTTCCCCAGTTTAGTTATAAGACACAGACTCAATCTCTTACCTGCATATGCTCTGGGAGGCATGGGCATTCGACCTCCTCTCATTCCTCCACGGCCTGGTGGCATTCTTGTTGGTGGTCCCCAGTAATCATCGTACCTATAAACCAATCAGATCAATAAAATACAAATTTCTCAAGGTTTGTTAACCCTTTTGTACATTGTATATACAAATATAGGTATTTCAGGACTAACACATGGTTTAACATGCGCGTGGGTGTCTTTAGCAGTGGGAGGAAAACCGGAGGACCCGGAGAAACCCCACAAATGCACAGTGGGGTCTTTAGCACGAGGCAGGACAGGAGACCCTACTCCTTGTCACATACAGGAAAGTAATCGAGACCACGCCAGTTGACTCAATGACAAGACCTTATGCACCGGGCACACGCTAACCATTCGGCCATCCAACTCCTGCCAGGTCATTATGGTACATGTTATTTCAACAACTAACTTATGCGCTGTGGTCTTTACTAGTGGCAGAAAACCCAGGAAGTTAGGCACCAATGTTATCTGACTGTGATTTCTTTTTTTAGTCAATGCCGATGGAGCTAAAAAAAGGAGGGAATACGTCATGCAGTGCGCCATCAGGGAACTTTTAACCAGATAGAGACACAGCTTGCTCTTTCTACATTTTAACAAGTAATAATAATTTTGTAGATAATCAGTTCTCTCTCAATCTCAAATAAAATAGATCGAGTCGTAAAAAGATTATCTATTTTTCTCTACACAGATTAAAACGCCTGAAAAACAGTTGGTGATTTCTTTCAGGAGCTGGACTGTGATTTAACTCCGATGTTTCGAGATTTTTCTTAACATTATTCAGTAAAATCATGCTTTACGAACATGGTCTATACAAGCTGAACTGCTAGACGGCGACCTTGCCAGCTAAACAACTAGACATCTTGCCTTGCCGGCCAAACAACTAGACATCTTGGCTTTCAAACTCCTCGACATAGTGCCTTGCAGAGAGAAATGGGGTTTAACGTCCACTCGGCACAATATAGGTCATTTCGGGACTAACATATGGTTTAATTTTATTTCAATAATTCGCTTGCGTGTAGGGGTCTTTAGCAGTGTGATGGAACCGGAGGGCCTGGAGAAAACCCACGAAGTTGGACAGGCGACCCTACTCCTTGTCACGTACAACAGGTGATTCGAAACCACGCCAGTTGACTCAATGACAGGCTTTATCATACAGCTAACCATTCGGCCATCCACCCCCCCCTAGTGCCTTGCAAACCAAACGAAAGCCTTTCAAGTCGAAAGACCAGTTTATTTTTCTCCCGTCAAAAGGCAACACCTAGTAACTCACGTTTTTTTTATTTTGAGAAAACAAAGGAAAAACGTAATGAATGAATATTAAACCCCAGCTTATGCATTGATTTTATTATCAAGTTACTAGGTTTTTCTGTGGCATACTAGGCAAATGAAGGAAGTTGCTAGGTTGCTTCATGGATGTAACTGCTTACAAATTCAAAAGATTGGAATATCTAGTACAACAGGAAGCACATACCCTAGTAACTACAAATTTTGATACAAAAAAAGTGAGTTACTAGGTTTTGACTTTTGACGAGAGCTTTCTATTCAAAATAGATGCTTTCTGTTTGCAATCATTAATGATGTTGACTACCTACCCTCCATAGCCTCGCCCAGGATATCTTCTGTCAAAGTCTCGTTTTCTGATCTCTTTCTTTTTGTTATCATTTTGAGGTTTGGCCAATGAGATTTCAACCTCCAAATTACCAATTTTCTACAAAAAAAAAAATGAATCAATTTTAATATCATTTTTGATTTATTGGTTCCGTTATAAATGGATAATTTTGTTATAAATAAATTTGTTGCTTTCCACACGTGCCAGATTACCATGTAGAGGTAAGATGACTTAGCGACTGGTAGCAGTTTTATCTCCACAGTTTACAGTACTGAACAACAAATAGATCGTAGACCAGTCGTCAAGCTGTGGTTTTAGCAGATTACAGAATGTTAAAGCTGATAAGCTATGAGAATAAATGAATAAACTTGCTCAAATTTAATCCTCTTCATCCCTCAAGGGGCATCATTCAAACAATTTTCGGTTGAGGAATGCGCACCCTGAACATGACAAATGAAATGAAATGGGGTTTAACATCCTACTGTTCTGCTCCTATACTGGGCTAATGAAGACGGGCATACGCCATACAGTGTGCTATAAGGAAAATTTTGTCTGGGCAGCAGCACTATTGCCTACTCTTATATCAAATTCCAACTGCCAAGGGATCTTTTACGTGCATTCCAATGTATACACAGAACCTCGGTTTTTCGTTTCATCCGAAGAACTAGACAGCTGTCCTTGTCAGGCCCTCCATTCTGCACAACTGACCCTGAACATGACACTATCCCAACCAATCAGAACATCTAAAATATTTGAAAGTCAATTCTTCTCATTTGGCTTCTGTTTTCAGGACTGGCAGACGTGATTAGTGCCATTTGATTGGAATTCCGACCATTCATTCGGTACCATCCAGACTAATTATTAAGAAACTTTACATATTCAAGACATCAAACACGTTATTTTTTTAAGTCGATATTTCAACTACAATGATAAAACTTTAAACATTATATTGAAAGTTAAGTAATAACTTTTCAAGCAATTTATTGTATCGTTTTAGTAAACTATTGTAAAATGTAACATTTTTAGTAAACTATTGTAAAATGTAACATTTTTAGTAAACAATTGTAAAATGTAACATTTTTAGTAAACTTATAGTAAACTATTGTAAAATGTAACATTTTTAGTAAACTATTGTAAAATGTAACATTTTTAGTAAACTATGCTTAATTGTAACCGATGTAATTTGTCATGTTCTAGTCACATCTTGCAAAACTATCTAAATTGTTGCATCTTAGAAAACTATCTAAATTGTCGTGTCTTAGTATCATACGCTAAATTTTCACGTTTTAGTAATATACCTAAATTGCCGCGTCTTAGTAACATACCTAAATTGTCGCGTCTTAGTAACATACCGAAATTGTCACGTCTTAGTAACATACCTAAATTGTGGTGTTTTAGTAACATACCGAAATTGTTGCATTTTAGTAACATACCTAAATTGTCGCATTTTAGTAACATACCTAAATTGTCACGTCTTGTCGCGTTTTAGTAACATACCTAAATTGTCGCGTTTTAGTAACATACCTAAATTGTCACGTTTTAGTGAACTAGCTAAATTGTCACGTTTAGTAACCTATCTAAATTGTCAACTTACTGTTCCTTTAAGTTCTTCCATGGCTTTTACAGCAAAATCTCGCTCTTCAAAATGAACAAAAGCGTAATCTTTTATCTTTTTTACCCGTTCAACTTTACCAAATGCTTCGAATTTTTCTTTTAACGCCTCCTCTGTAACTTCAGATGTCAGATTTCTTAGATAAAGAACCTTGACCTACAAAAAACAAATGATTAAAGTAAATTTGTTAAAACTGATTTAGTTCATGAAGTACTAAAAGAACGCTGGGGATTGAACGAAGTTATGAAATTGGATAAGGTTTAATGTCCTATTCTGCATCAAAATCCAATTTATAAGTTTTTTTACACACCCCAACCATCATCCTACACTACTGACAAAATGGCAAAATCCAGGCTAGAAAACCCCAAAGACTTTCTCACTTTCTCGGTGGGTGAGTGAGCTGGTGTTGTACATATCAAGTCTTGATTTGTTAGTAGTGTTGTAGATAATGAGTTCTCTCTCAATCTCAAGAGATCGAGTCGTAAAAAGACTATCTTATTTTTCTCTACACAGATTAAAACGCCTGAAAAACAGTTGGTTATTTCTTTCAGGAGCTGGACTGTGACATACCAAGATTTGCCATTAATTCATATTTTTTTGATTCCAAGAATGTATATAACCCTTGCCCAGAAACATTCACCTCCTGAACATATTTCAATCTGCTTTATTCCTAGCCCTAATGACACCACTTTAACAAGTGAAGTCCAGGCCCCAAGTTCACAAGGCATTCTCAGACTTCAGTTAAGATTTTACTCAAAATTGTTTGTCATATTTTAACTAAAATATAGCCTAAAATATAGCCCTTTATAAAAAAACATTTGTTGTTTTAATGTATGAAATACATCAATAACAAACTATGTGCACCAATTTTTTTTTTGTCTGGATTGAAGATATTTCTCATAAACAGGGATTGAAAGTTGAGTAAGTTCTTAACTCAAGTCTGAGAATGCTTCGTGAACTTGGGGCCTGGATTGAAAACATCCCAAAACTTTAATATTAAATCAAAATTACCTTATCCATTGTTTCATCATCGGGTTCTTCTTGTGGATCAGCCCAATCGACAATGATGTCACAACCCCACACCTTAACTCGACCAGAACCAATCTTTCTCTTAGCTGTTGAAGCAGCTTTGTGGGAATCGTATTCAAGAAAGGCAAACCCTCGGTTCTTCAATTTAGGATTATCTGCTGAGCCATAAACAATGACATCTTGTAGTCCATCTGCAATAGATATTAAACTTAAAATTACATATCAAGAATTTAAGACCAACAAGCACCAGTTTACAAGTGGACTGCTTCTCTATTAAAAGAAACAATTCACTATCCCTACACAAGACTTATCTGGGATTACATAATTTGGGGGGGGGGGGGGCGATTTTTTTTGATTTTTTTTTTTGTTACAAATTTCCATTTCAATTTCTTTTCCATTTTTTTTTTTCAGTTTACAGTGTTGTTTGTAATAAATAGTTGGCCAATAATAAAATAATTACTTTTTTTTTTCATCCTGCATGCCAAACAGAAAGAGTAAATCCAAATAGTAAATAGTAAAAAGTTTTATATCATGAGAGTTATAAATATTTTTGCTCCCAGATCTCTATACCTGTTCTTCTGGTGAATTCTTCTTTTATTTCCTCTCTTGTCTTGTTTTTAGGAATATTTCCAACGAATAATCTCAAGTTGGCAATGGACACGTTAACCTTTAACGTCTTACCCTTACGGATCTCGTAATCGTCAAGCTGTAAGAAATATTTAGGTCCAAATATGGGTTAGGTTTGAAATTTTGTGTCCAGTGCTTTTAACGTAAAAGAGGTCCAAATTCTTTTGGAATTTGTAAATCCTCTTTTACAAACGCTGCCAAAGGAATAAATATCAAATCATTTCAATTTTTTTTAAAAATATATTTCAAATAAAGCATAGATTTTTTTTTTTTTACCATATTTCTTCAAATTCTTTTTGGTTCTAGCAATATTTTTTAGTTTTTTCTTCAATCTTTAGGTTTTTTTTTCTTTGGAGTCCTCCACATTTGCATAGATTTCATGCAATTACCAAGACAAAATTATCAAATAACAGATCCCTTGTATAGGGGGTATAAGACGGGCCGCTGTCAACGGCAACACTATGCAAGCCGTTTGCAATAAGGCACTCGGTCACAAACAATGTCTGCTACATTTTTGGCATGGTTATTTTATCTAATAGAGATTGTTGTGAATAGCAATACTCTAAGCCTTGCAATAAGGGACACGTTATTTTTGTCTGGCACAAAGTTTTTTTTCTTACTTTTTAATGATACTCAATACGTGCCTTACATTAATGCCAGACTTCGTGTCCAGTACATTTAAAATATTTGTATCCAAGCCTGAAGCTTCCACATTATTTCTCACAAGGGACTGACACAGCCGTCGGCATGAACAGAAATGAAAATGAAATGAGGTTCAACATCCTACTGTTCTGCTCCGTCTGGGCTAATGAAGACGAGCATACAGTTTACCAGTGGATAAATAAAATGAAACAGGGTTTCTGTTCCGACTGGGCTAATGAAGACAGGGTCGCAGACATACTTCTCCCCTTCCTAATCCCTGAAGCAGTGCTATATTTACCTGTTTGACTGCGTTTTTAGCTCCTTCCTTGTCACAATATGTAACAAAGCAGTAGCCACGATTCTGCCCTAATAATGGGTCCATCATCAACCTCAAATCCCAGATTTTACCAGTTTTCTCAAATAATGGAACAAGTTCATCTTCAAAAATATCTTTTGGAATTTTACCAACAAATACCTAAAATCGAAAGAAAGAAATAACCTTAAAAATGTATCTAATTGAGAGATGCAGTAAAGTTACTTTTTGGCAGAAGAGCTAAAGTAAAGAAATTTATTTGCGCATTTATATATGTGGAAATTGTCTGTTATTCTATTTTTGCTACATCTCACTTCTCAAGATAATTGACTGCAATTCGGTCCTGCTAGACAAGCCTAGTCGATACATCGTTCAGTAATAAGGAGTAATTGTATTCCATCGAATCGTTGGGGGTTGGATGGCCGAATGGTTAGCATGTGCATGCTTTTATCATAAGACCTGTCATTAGTCAACTGGCGTGGTTACGAACCCCCAGTTTACTTGACAAGGAGTAGGGTCGCCTGTCCAACCTCGTGGGTTTTCTCCGGGTCCTCCAGTTTCCTCCCACTACTAAAGATCCCTACGCGCAAGCGAATTATTGAAATAAAATTAAACCATATGTTAGTCCCGAAATGACATGGTTTGTGTCGAGTGGACGTTAAACCCTAGTTCTCTCTCTCCATCGAATCTGGACCGGTCTTTGGTTATAAAATAATTACCTCGTGTCCAGGGCCTGGTTGTACCCCGTCACAATCTGGTGGAGGTCCACCATATTTACGTTGTCCGGTTGTTATATCAAGAGAATAGCCCGTTCTGTCCAATATTTCCTGTAATACAAACAATATAACTCATTACATCAAGTCACGTCAAAACTCATGCATTGATGCAGTAGTGTGTGAATTACCCTAATAACACGGCAAGGGCGACCTTGGTTCAATATTTTGGGACTATGGTCCGGACTAAATGAAATTCGGATTCAATTAGTTAGACCATAGTCAAGAAATCATGATGAACGAAGGTCGCCAAGGAATTCATTAATAGAAATGAAAAAAAAAAAGAATGAAATCGTGTATGTCCTTCTCTTCTGCATTTCATAAAATTGTGACCTATGTATTTTCTCTTCAAATTACAAAATGCCATAAAACAATTCCTTAACTATTTTTTAGGGCTCTGTTGATTGATAGATGTACCGGTATAGAGAATCTCATGTGTGGTGGCCAATGAAGATCACATGGCTACGAGAAATTTTGGCCAAAAACTGACATTTCCACATCTATGGAATTGGGAGCTATTAAGGGCTATTTTTACATGAAGGCCAGTGTACACAGGACATTGTTTTGTATAACAAGTTTATATGGCCATATAAGTGAATATTTATGCGACAGTACTTTCAGATAGAATTATTAATTCATCATTTAATCAATTTCAATTACCTTTAATTTAGCCTCATCAGGGCCTTTAGCAAGGGCTGGTTGAGCTCCCTGTTTTGATTTTTGTCTGAATGTTTTCATTTGTCCACAGAGGAAAGCACTTTTGTTGCCGACATGTTCTAAGTTACTCTCATTAAATTGTTTCAAAACTTCAACAGCGTCATCAGCGTTAAATTCTTTCAGAGCATCCAAAGCTCTCTCATCCAAATCTGATGGCGTTAATTTACCTAAAGATGATAAAAAAATATTTTCTTAGTTCTGTTACCAGATTTTTCAAAAATATTAGTTTGTTCGTAAAATTATTTCTAATGTATTTCAGGCGTTCTGCTAATATTAGAGCCTTACATGCAGAGGTAAAATAGATCGGGCAGATGATTCCATTCCATAAAAATAAAAACTAAAGAGAAAAACCTCAGAATCTCTTGATTTTCAGAATAAAGAAAAGCAAAAGTGAAATCTGCCTAGGACTAGAGAGATTAGTAAGCTTTGAAAAGTTCAATATTTCTGGTACATGTACATTTAAAGTTACAATTTTATATTTTCTAAGAAAGTCAAAACATAATAAAAAATCTTCACGCCGGACATAACAATTACCTCCCTTGTTTTCCTATTCTCCACCATGGAATAGCTATCTTCAAACGTTTGAATTTGAAGTTGAGAATGATATTTTTGCCAATTTCTCAACTGGCAATAGTGAAATATAGGATTAATAGGATTATTCTTTAACAAGCTTGGACTGTTTATAGATACCATCTATATTAGGACTTTATTTTAATACATTTTAAAAATATAACTTAAAAATATGAAATTGTAACTTTAAGGATGTAAAGTTTTAATAGAATTGCAACTCAACTAAAGCCTTTGATCATGTAAAAAGTTCAAGCCAAGGCAGAGTGATTGATCGATTTGTCAGAGTCTCTATTCTTTGTTCTGCGAAATCTAATTGACAGAGTGGAAAATTAGCTTTTAAAATTTGATTCCTGAATTAAATGTTAAGTCGTGAGGAATTAAATATTTTTCATAATGTAAATCACACACAATGACTTTAATAATAGATTTCAAGCTCTGGGCCCTTATTCACGAAAACATAAACTAAGATACAATCGAAATTTTAAGAAATACTGCAATTCGATTGGCTGACCAGTAAAAGCAATTTGCATATATCCAATTTGCATATTGGTCAGCCAATCGAATTGCAATATTTCTTAAAATTTGCATATATCCAATTTGCATATTGGTCAGCCAATCGAATTGCAATATTTCTTAAAATTTCGATTGTATCTTAGTTTAAGTTTTTGGGAATAAGGGCCGTGGTTGGTACTGGATCTTTTCCAACTCTAAAACGGCACCCAGAAAATTGCAAATCATACTGAAGAGACTTTGACTTGAATAGTAATTTCATGCCAAGAAATGAAAGCAGTTGATAATATACCTGTACCTGATATATAGATTTTTATCAGTTGCATGGAAACTTTTTTTGAAATTCCGTAGTCCAATAATTTCTGTAAATCATCTGCGTATCCGTTTAGTTCCGTTTCCATTTCTTCTTGTTTTATACCTAAAAGCTGGTCTTCTGTCTGTTGGTCCATTTGCTCCTCCCCATTTTCAGCCATCTAAAAAAAAAAAATATGTTAAGCTTATTGTGAAAAAAGAATAAGACATTACATTATCTGAACATATTCATGAACGAAATGTCTATCGTTTGTTTTATAGATGTCATAGTCGATTTCATAAAAATAAAATAAAAATCAGTCAGAATAATCTGCAAGTCTTAAGGGTTGCTTTGGAATCCAGCAGTAGATATGCACCCCCCGTAGGTATGTGACTATCCGGCTCTGAGAACCAGCCGTGCTGGCACTAATTAGTTGTGACGTAATTAAGTGTTTTCCCCAGGGCGGCATTTCTGACCACGCTATATAGGGCGCTTTTTGATTGGCTGGGTGTGGGAAATCCTTGTGGAAAATACCCTCTGACGTAGCCGAATATATTAATATATTACCTCGTTTTCGATTTTTTACAATCGCTTGAAAATTGACGATATTACGAGTTGTTTTGTTACGAAGTGAGAATTTTAGTCGTGGAACGGTGCAAATTGCGGTATCAAGGTGAGTTTGAATAACTTATTAATGCATATGAATTGATTCTATGTATAGTTGTGCATATATGTGTGTAATATCAATGACGAAACTATGTTCCAAGGATACCTACGAAGCTGCGAAAAAAAGTTAGTCGTATCAAAGAATTTCCAAGATGGCGGCGAATTTCTTCGATTTTCACTGTGTCGTCACACATTTCAATTCAAAATCACATGAACATGGCTATACTTATATGCATCAAAGCACACAAATAATGCAAAATAATAGTCAATTAATATGTTGTATGTCTGGATTGTGATAAAAATACATAGTTATCGAGGATTAAATGTCTCATAATTATGATAATATACGGCTCCTCCCCTGACTTTGTTTACAAAACAAACGCACATGGTCTTATGTTGGGGCTTTTTTTTCTTACTTTAAATGTATTTTGAGTCAGCAATACCTTATGTAAACAATCAACGTTGCTTTAAAAAAAAAAAAAAAAAAAAATATCTATATTAAATATTTTTTTTTGTTATTTTTCAGTAATAAATAAACCCTAGAATATCATAATATAATGCCTCCATCAAAGAAGAAAAGAAAGCTGAACCCAGACGCTGAACCTGGAATAGCAAGGTCTTATCTGAATGAGACATTTTGTGTTATCCCTGCTGGGAATAAACTTCAAAATGGACATGTCTTGTATATTTTTTTGCTACATGACTCGAGCGTGTCAAACGCTGAACGTGCAGTAAAGGAGACATTCAGTGAAGAAGAGCGTTCTGCCATTCCAATTTTAAAGGGGAAAATCACTTCTTTAGTGCAGCGGACAATAAAGAAATATAAGAGGCTAACAAATGAGAGTGAGATGCAGAAATTCAAGGATTGTTGTTGGGAAGAATTTTCAACAGAAGTAATATGTAGAAAACGTTTACAACCAGAACCACCAGGCACACCTAAAACTCCGAATTCAAGTTCCAGTTCCTCGTCTCACAAGAACTGTTCAAACTGTGTGAAACTTCGTGGGCGTCTGTACAAGGCTATTCAACGTCAAAAAGAGATGCAGGAAGCGCACTCTGCTCAAATTGAAGAATTCAGAAGAAAGTTGAGTAAGAAGAATGCTATCAGGGTCATTAATCAGAAATTAAAAAGAAAACTTAACCGTGTTAAGGAACTTGATGAATCAGATTCTTCTGGTTTGGGAGCAAAACTGAAAAAATTGAGAGATGTCGTGAAACAGAAGAAAAAACAGTGTAAAAGATTAAAGATAGAGCTCAGTGAAAAAACTAGTTTTATTGTTGATGAATCTGCCAAAGAAATCTCAGTACTTAAGAATAAGGTAAAAGCGCAAGATGAAGAGATTAGTTTTCTGCAAAACGACGTAGCTGTGCTTGAAGAGCAGATTGAAGACAGCGAAGATTCCTCCACCTCAGACATTTTTGAGAAACAAGGAAAGATGTACTCTTTACAAACACGTCTCTTTGTATATGACGCCATTACAAATCAAGTACCAACTGCTAATGTGCCTAAACTTTTAGATAAGTTTGTACAGAGGACTGGTGCCCAACTTGACAAAGTTCCCCACCGCAATACGGTAGAAATGATGGTGCGAGAAATGGGGTTGATATCTCAGCTTCAAGCAGCCGAAACTATCTTGGCCAATCCAGATTCAACCTTGGGATTCGATGCAACGACCCAGCAAGGCATTCACATCAACAGCATCCATATGACTTTTAAAAAAAATTCAGACAGTTGCCTTGTCATTGCAGTAGACCACCTACCAGGTGGGACGGCTGAGGATTATTCCCAGCACATAATTTCTTCCATTAATGAACTGGCAGTTGTTTACGCCGACTTTTACCAAAAGGACTATCAAACAGTTTCAAAATCTTTGACAGCAAATATTGCCAACAGTATGACGGACAGGTGTGCTTCTAATCATGCTGCTATTCGTCTTATTAATGCAGCATGGAACACTTCACTAAACGAACTGAACTGCCATCTTCACCCGCTTGACACTGTTGCATCAAAAGTTAGAGCGGCGTTGAAATCACTTCAACAAGAAAAGGGCCACGAGAAGGGAAAGCTGTTTGGACAAGATTGTCTTGCCGCAAATGTCATTTTGCAATTGAATAAAGTTCGTTTTAAGGATGGGAAAGGCGACCCAATGGGTTTTAAAATATTTCTTGAGGAAATGGGACTAGGGAAGGGATTTATCCCCCGATACAGGGGAAATCGCCTTCATGTACTTTTCCATCTTGCTGGCAAATACTTCGTTTATCATGCTGATTTCCTCAAGTTTTTGAATTCCCGTACTTCTCTTGGTGGCTTGCGATCGAGTTTGATGCTAGATTTTGAAAATTCAGTTACAAAGTTGGAGCTGCAGGTTCTGGGGTTGATTGGGAAGTTGTTCTCTGGACCCTGGATGAAGATGTTTTACACTTCGGCAGACACAGAAATACATCACATCAGAGGGATTAAGACTGTAGAAGAGGTCTTAAAGCGTGTTAAACTCCAGGAAAAGAACCCCACCACCATTCTTTCTCGTGAGAATGATTTCTTTGATAATATCCTAGAAAAAGACCCGATACTGTGTGCTTTACAACAAGAGGTACCATCCGACACAACCTTGTTTGCTGAAATGGTGAAAGTTTGTTTAGGGGCAATCGTGATAGTGCTAGAGAGACAATATGAGAAGTATTTTAACCTCGACATCACAGACGAATTGGAGAAGCAAACAGAGTCGGCCAGGTCGCACAATATAGATGCAGAGGAGGTAATGGGGATGTTTTCGGCAGCAAAACAGAAAGCTCAGAATGCGACTCTGTGTTTCCTCTCATCCAAAATCAGGGCGCAGAAAAACCGTGTAATTGATTTTCTAGACAACATGGGTGGTGATAAAAGAGAGAAGGTTGTTCAGTTTGCGGTGACGTATTCGAGAAAACAGAGAGAAAGAAAGAAAACTAAGCAGAAGGATGTGATGGTGGAAATAAAAAGAAGAAATGCCTTACAACAAGAGAAAAAAAACATGACAGAACTAAGAAAAATGGAAAAGAAATTAAAAACCACTGATACAGATCCAATTTCTCTGGCTGAAGCATTTCCTGGCACTGATAAAGGGATTCTGGATGATTTGGGGGATATATTGGAGGGTAAAGTCGTTGGCAAAGACCTTTGTCACTACTGGTTTGACACAGACAAGGGCGTTAAAGAACTGTATTATGGAAGAATAGAGAAACTCCGGAAGAATGGCATCGTTTATCGTGTGTGTTACTGGGCTGAGGGGGAGACTTTCGATGATGGAGAGTCGTACGACATTTCGAAATATTCCCTTGCTTCTGATCTAATCTTAAGTGACTTGATTTTGTGTTAAGACTAGACAACAGACTCATCTGAGTACTAAATTTCATCTTATTATATGGTACGACTGGTGATATTTATCTGTAACTGTGCATGTATTAGTGTTTTTGAACAGCTATCTTTTAGTAGAAATTTCAATGAAAAAGACCAAGTATTAAGGAAGTTATGACATTTCGAAATATTCCCTTGCTTCTGATCTAATCTTAAGTGACTTGATTTTGTGTTAAGACTAGACAACAGACTCATCTGAGTGCTAAATTTCATCTTATTATATGGTACGACTGGTGATATTTATCTGTAACTGTGCATGTATCAGTGTTTTTGAACAGCTATCTTTTAGTGGAAATTTCAATGAAAAAGACCAAGGAAGTTATGAGCATTTTTATGACCTGGTTAAGACTGGATAACGGACTCATCTGAGTGCTAAATTTCATCTTATTATATGGTACGACTGGTGATATTTATCTGTAACTGTGCATGTATTTGTGTTTTTGAACAGCTATCTTTTAGTAGAAATTTCAATGAAAAAGACCAAGTATTAAGGAAGTTATGAGCATTTTTATGATTTGGTTAAGACTAGACTACGGACTCATCTGTGTGTAGGAATTCATCTTATTATATGGTATGACTGGTGATATTTATCTGTAATTAAGAGATTAACTGTGCATGTATTAGTGGTTTTGAACAGCTATCTTTTAGTGAAAATTTCAATTAAAAAGACCAAATATTAAGGAAGTTATGAGCATTTTTGTGATTTGGTCAGTCGTCAATTAATCTCCACGAATTGGCGAATTGATTCATTAATTGGCGAATTGATTCATTAATTGATAATTAATTAATAATTGATCAAATTAATCAATCAATTAATTAATGTAATTGTATTGTGGTTTCAAATAGCTCTCCAACGATGCAAAAGTCATTGATATCTGTTGACTTTTGGGGGAACTGTGATGTTTTAAAGTGCGTACTTATTATTTTCACCCGAAAAGTGATCACGCTCAAGTCTTTGTATTCTAATTAAAACAAAGGGTCAATATTGACCCGATTTTCTATTTTTCAAAATGATGTAACTTTTTTTCTATTTGGAGTAGAACCAAAATTTAAAGACCATAGTAATGCATATTCAAGGCCCTTTCCAATGATGCCAGTTTTATTAAATTTGCAAAATTTTCATTTTTTTAGTCACATACCTACCCCCCCCCCCAAAAAAAAAATAAATAAATAAATTAATTATCTGCAACTGAAATGGAATTAAGACATTCCAAGCAATGAACACACAAAAGTAGGCCTATATGCAAACAAAACTTGGAAAGATCTGTAAAATGAGGGGCTAAATTTCACAAATGTTGAATCATCTCGGGAATTGTTTTTAATTCTAGCAGTAGCAAGAATTTTCAAAATACTTGCTAATTAATATAGAATACAGTCATATCAATGGAATAGGCCTTATAGCTAAGAATTTGAACATCTTTATTCTCGGGGAAATTCAAATGATGAAGTTGAAAACAATTTGATCTAAATTTAAAGTCAAGGAAAATAATAATTCAAGAAAATAAATTGCAAGAAAGAAAAACATTTTACAGATTCAAAATCGAGATAAAAAATGTTGAACGGAACTGTCGTATCAAGCCTTACTCTTAAAACAATTTCTGCAACATGTAAACAATGATGTACAACAATGAGACTTCGCGGAGCCAATACTGACCTACATTGAGCACGCGTCACGCGGCAAACCATACTCAATATACCGAGTGTGGAATATAAAACTTAAAGCCACGTGTTTCTAAATAACATTTTCCATGCAAACAATTTTTCGTCGCCCATAAAACATAAAATAACGGCTCTTTAATAAGAATCGATTGAGTCTATTCCAGCGGCAACAATTAGCCTGTCCTTGCTATTTTCGACAGTGTCCTTTGTTCTTGCATCCAGAAAGACAATTTCTTTGTGCATGCCGCACTGTGAAAGGGTTTGGGAAGCCGGTTGAAAAATAGCAAACCGAAATAAACAACTTCTACACCTTAAATATACATAATATTTGTGCCAATATATCCTCGGAACTATCAAGAACAATTGCACTTACCTTGTAGCCCAAATAAAAAAGTGAAATGTAGAAAAAGACCTTTCAAATTTACTGGCAAATTTTTTCCTGACGTTAATAAAGAAATGGCTGTGGCGGAGAGACCACGTGACTGTTTGGGTCCTCCCATTTCACTTCACGGGTGATATTTATTTAACAAAGCGAGTTTTATTTTCTTAATCGATCAAAAATTCTAGAAATCGGAGAATCTTGAAACAGAATAGATATTTCGTCCAATCAATGCAGAAAAATAGTTTTAGAACGAAATCTCGTTCACTTCGGTCATAGTTTAATGAAACGTGAACCGGTTGCTAAAATAAATAATAAACCGGTTTAAGTTAGGGAACTAATAAGGTCAAGGACTGCTTCTTATTACCTTGAACTCGTGAACTCCATAAGATTTCGCAAGTTGATGTTTGCATATTTAACTGTATCCTGTTTCTAAATACATAAAAATACCTGCCTCACGACTTGTCCGTGCATAAAACAGCAAGCAATAAATAATAATGCGATCCTCCAAGTTTAATTCATCTTCTGGTAGGTAGGTGGTTTTAATATTTTAGATTTTATTCCAAGCAGTGGCACTAAAAAAGTAAAGTAAAAGTAGACAAGTTACCGAGAGACTTCAAACGTCGGATATCCCATTTTTTAAAAATTTAACTAATAAATGGACTATAAGGACCATTAACTAATTAGGCTTAGGTAAGAGCAATGTCGAAATTTAGACTAATTCAGAGTTATTCTTAAAATTATTCAGCAAAAATCTGTTTATATGTAGGCCTAATATATTATATTAAACTAAAGCCTGATTGCAACACATATTTTTTGATTTAAAAAATAGGGAGCAGGTCCTTAAAATCTGTAGGCTAATCTGTAGTCATTTGACTACAAGAAAGTTACTGGCCTATTTAACACCATTAATTTTCAATTACACTGACCTCAAACTGGACTGTACAAAGCTTAACATATATAATAAACCAATTCCCATTGAAATAAAGGTGAAACCACATAATTATATGATTTGAATTGAATTGAATTGAATTGATTAAACCCAACTGCTCTGCAAAATTTCTGTTCATTTTAAAATGGCCAAAGGCTGAAAGGGGTTTGACTTATAGTCAATTTAACTGAGACTCAAAAACTTCTGTGACGGAAAAGTCGATGTATGAAAAGTCGTATATTTCATGTTTGATATTACTGTCATACCTGATTATCGCAAGGGGGGTTGGATGGCTGAATGGTTAGCACGTTCACGCTGTACCATAAAGTCTGTCATTGAGTCAACTGGCGTGGTTTCGAATCCCCGGTTGTAGGTGGCAAGGAGTAGGGTCGCCTGTCCAACCTCGTGGGTTTTCTCCGGGTCCGCCGGTTTCCTCCCACTGCTAAAGACCCCTACGTGCAAGCGAATTATGTAAATCAAATTAAACCAAATGTTAGTCCCGAAATGACCTAGTTTGTGTCGAGTGGACGTTAAACCCTATTTCTCTCTCTCTCTCATTATCGCAAGGGGCTGATGTAGTGAGTGAAATTTTAAAAAATATGAAATTCAGGGACTTGATGAAATTTTTTAAAATTGAATAGATGAAACTGAGAAACTTAGATTGTGGGCCGTGTTGGTTTTTTTAGCGGGGTGGTGGTGGGGGGGGGGGAGGGCGATGAGAGGTCCTGTATAAATATCAGTGAAATAAATCAAACTGTGAAATTCAGTGACTTAGACATAGTGGCTGATGTGAAATAGGATTTTAGAAAGAGAATTAAATAGATGAAGACAGCTGATTGTGGGAGGTGTTATAACACCATTACATTACACCAGCTGTATATACAACCTTCAATAGTGTCGAGAGATTAACATAGATTTTGAATAGCATTATAGCCTTTATCTCCCAGACTAAAAGTGTGAGTAAAACTCATATCTGGATGACATCTAGACTTGATTATCTTACCTGCTAATTACCTTTTGAAAATGAAAGGTGATAATGGAAGACTTTAACACTTTTTAAAGGAGATGAAAGGAATAGGTATAAATTTATATATGACATTAATGTATTTGTTTAAACATGCATTATACAAGAGCTAAATCTGCCTAATGCAGGTCTTTCTATAGGTCAGAAATGTTATATAAACTATTAATTAGACATTTATTTACAAAACAAGACCATAATTGACTAACGATGGCATCGAATACTCAAGATTTTAACTAGATTAAAACGGTTTGCCATTTAAAAATTTAATTTAAAAATGGGAAAGTGAGGCTAAGTCCCGAATATACCTGTGCCCTGGTTACCACTGTGCACACATCTTGTCAAAACTACAAACAATGATAACTTGGCTGAGAATGAAGTAATTTGAATGAAATTTTAGTCAAATTACTCTATTCTATTCTGAGTGAAGGTATGAGTGTTTGAAGTTTTGAGAAATTCTCAATTATCTTTTATTACTAGACTCTTAAAGATGGGTTCCCAGAAAAGTATTTATTGGGTGGTTATTTCCAATAAAAGTATGGCAATTTTGGTATATATGGAAAGTAGAGATATCCAATCTTACTAGTAAAATACTGGATTCCCCGAAAAACAATCAGGGAGCGTATACAGAACAAAAATATAAGTGTTCCCCTAATCGACAGCTCGACGATTAGGAATTTCTGCATGAGTGATGCCCAAGGTCACACGCGAGCATTGAGCGCTTGATGTACAAGTTGATAAACTTTATGAAGAGTTAGAGGTACAACACTTTCTGAGATAAAAATGACGGAAAAAGATGCGGGTAGTGGATAATCCGGGAATTTAATTAGAAATCGATATTTGTAATAAATAGTAAGCGATTAAAGACAACATCGTCTTATGTATGCAATGAATTCTCCTGTGATTTTCAAGAAAGGTAAGTCACGTGACGTAAACATGACCTGGTTTGATCAAATTTTTATAGCAGGGCATTCCTTCGCAATTACAATGTTTGAGAAGGATTTGAAGCAAAATTATGACAAATTAATTAGTTTGAATATGTTTTTAGTCCATATATACCATTAAATCACCCAGTTTGTACGCAGGAATGTATCTTTAAATGTTCTAATTTACTTAAAATTAGTTGATTATGAGCTTGTAATGTGAATAATTAAGTGTCAAAATAATAATTTATATAACATATGAAGCCAGAAGACTGGCCTGGAATAGGAAAATTTAACTTTTATAGATTAGGCAACTTTAAGAAAACAAATTCAAACACTAGATAATCTCCTGATTTTGATTCAGTTGGATTTTTAAAAAAAAGGGGGGGGGGAAATAGGAAAACAAGGGAGGTAATTGTGTTATTATTTCCTGTGTCAATGAATTTTAAGTGTGGGAAATAATGCCTATGATCGTATAATAGTGAGTTGATAACCTATTGAGCATAATTATGTTTTGACTTTCTTAGAAAATATGAAATTCTCGCTTTAAATAGTACCATACTATTATATGACCTACTAGTAATCACAAGGTAAATCATTTAAAATAGAAAAATAAAAAAAATAAAGAGTAAAAGGTATAAAAAACAGTACATTTTTCTATTAAATGACCTTTAAAATATGGTGGGTTAGATGGCAGAATGGTTAGCACATGCACTTTATATCATAAGGTCTGTCATTGAGTCAACTGGTGTGGTTTCGATTCCCCGGTTGTACGTGACAAGGAGTAGGGTGGCCTGTCCAACCTCGTGGGTTTTCGCCAGGTCCTTCGTTTTCCTTCCACTGCTAAAGACCCTACGGTGGGTTAGATGGCAGAATGGTTAGCACATGCACTTTATATCATAAGGTCTGTCATTGAGTCAACTGGTGTGGTTTCGATTCCCCGGTTGTACATGACAAGGAGTAGGGTGGCCTTTCCAACCTCGTGGGTTTTCGCCAGGTCCTTCGGTTTCCTTCCACTGCTAAAGACCCCTACGCGCAAACAAATTATTGAAATAAAATTGAACCATATGTTAGTTTGTGTTCGAGTGGACGTTAAACCACATCTCTCTCTCTCTCTCTCTCTCTCTCTCTCTTTCTCTCTCTCTCTAAAATACTAGTAATCACCATGTCATCATATGTTAGGAATCACAGTAGCTCAGAGAGTAAGATTCTGGGTGCCCTGGCAAGGAATGACATCTGGTCTTTTGGATGGTACAAAAAAAAAACCAACTGTGGTCCCCATATTAAATTTGGCATTCACTTCATGAAGACTGAAGAGTAGGCAGATAAGCCTCTGTCCAGGCAAATATTTCCTCAAACAATAGATATTAATACTGATCTATCTCTAACAGAGCATTATACAAGATTTACATCTCTAATGGAGTCTGGTGGAAGATAATTAAAGTAGCCAAGTCTCTAACTCAATATCATCCAAAGTCTTCGACATTAGAACCACAAATTATTTGTCAATTTAAATCAACATTGATGTTGTGATCTTACCTGGAAAAGATGGGCTTCTGATATCCAATATTTAAGACAAAATAAACATTATTTCAATAATTCGCTTGCGCATAGGGGTCTTTAGCAGTGGGAGGACACCGGAGGACCCGGAGAAAACCCACAAGGTTGGACAGGCAACCCTACTCCTTGTTACATACAACCGGGGATTCGAAACCACGCCAGTTGACTCAATGACAGGCCTTATGATACAGCGCGCACATGCTAACCATTCGGCCCCCCCCCCCCCCCGATTGTTACAAGTAACATAAAATGCTGTAAGTTTTCATTTCCTGTATTATATAAACAACATCATGGCATATGTCGTGTTCATTAGACTGGAAAGGGTAGAAAGTGCGATGATGAACCCCATTTTATTTCATTTCTATATTATCCACATTCCTAAATGACATACTTGATTCACAATTTAACCTAAATAACACATTTGACAGCCGTAGTTTATAAAAAGTATTTCACCACATGGTTTTTACCTTGTAAACGTCATCAAAAAGTCATTTATTTGAAAGCAGGATACAGTTTGTGACTAATGTCACGTCGTCACACAACTTGTCATTGTAACAGATGTGACAAACACGTTTTTATTTTTTTACGTGTGAAATGTAATTATTGGATACAGATTGTGTATGGATATATAAATTAACTTTCTCACTAAATACTGCTATTGGATACATATTGAACACTGATAGTAATTAAACTAATATTGATTTTAACAATTATTGATTTAAGGACAAACCATTTTAATTTTCAGTTGTTCGAGGTCTTGATCAATATAATGCCATTTGAATCACATGAATGATGTTTAGTTTAAAATTTCAGAACATAAAAATTTGGAACCAAATTTTTTGAACAGCGGATCTAAGTAATTTTGGTTTTTAAATTAGACTTTTACCTGAAGACATATAATGCCACTTGAATCCCATGAAAGATGTTTAGTTTAAAATTTCAGAACATAAAAATTTGGAACCAAACTTTTTGAACAGCGGATCTAAGTAATTTTAAATTAGGCTTTTACCTGAAGAAAAAAATAAATTTTTAACAGGTAATCGTAAAAATCAGAAAATTAATTTGGTGTGGCCTTAGAGGTGTTCTTTTTGCGGCTTTAAACAGCCTCGATGTTTATAAATTGTTCATTTGTCTGCGATTATCACTTTTGATGGAAGCAGATGTTAAAACATTAAGCAGCAACCAGCAAGTATAAATGGGTCGTTAATTTATGTTTTCTCTCTTTTTTCCAGAATCGCTTGATGGGTGAAGACACCAACAGCTAACTCGGATTACAACAGAATTCTGTTACGGAGAAGTTTTAATTTGTGTGTTCCGACAGTGAACTCGGGTTAGAACGTAACCTATCAATTTACAAAATTCTGTTACAGAGTAGTTCCGGATTTACTTCGTATGTGTTTATTTTTTTAAAACAAAAATGGATCTCTCCTACTTCTGCTCGAGGATATTTTTGAATTTTTTTTTAGTGTGTATATTAGGTTATTTAAACTTTGTTAATACAAGCGAAGAAACAGATTTAACCAAAGAACCAGGACATTTACAAAAATTCGGAACTGGGCGTCCAGGACATCAAATAGAAGAAATCGTAGGTTTCCCGAACCCAGGGGATTTTTTTACTAATTATTATCTTCCGCAAAAACCTGTCAAGCTCAGGACTGGTGCGAAACTTTCCCCAGCATTCCATTTGTGGACCGATGAGTATTTTTTAAACCTCGACGTCCCCCCGAAGAGTAAAGTTCATCTGGAGACAGTGAAGAAAGAAAGTAGACAACAGAGAACGTTACATATGGATTTTAAAAAGTTTGTGAAGAATTATATGAATACATCTTATTATATGGTGGATACTGTCCCAGCTTTTTTAAAGTAAGTAATAATAATGTTTTACTCATTAAACAGCGTAGGAGCCATGGTGGCTTAGTGATTCTCCCTTGTCAATGGTGCAGGACAGAGGGCCTGGCAAGGAACAGAAATGAAATGAAATGAAATGGAGTTTAACGTCCTACTGTTTTGCTCCTAAACTGGGCTAATGAAGACGGGCATACGCCATACAGTGTGCTATGAGAGAAATTTTGCCCAGAGAACAGCACTACCGCCTACTTTTATATCGAATTGAAATTCAAGGGATCTTTTACGTGCATGCCAATGTGTACACTGGACCTCGGTTTTTCGTCCCATCCGAATGACTAGACAGCTGTCCTTGTCAGGCCCTCCGTCCTGCGTCACTGATAGGGGAGAACCAAGCCAGAAAATCTGGATGAACTTTCTCAGCCAATGCAGGGATCGAATACTCGACCTCCAGGTTAGTGAGCCAGCGTCTTACCCACTTTGACCCCCTGGCAAGGAACAACCTATAGCCATTGTTATTGGCCGAAACACTGAGGTCCCGTGTACACATTGACGTGCACGTAATGCAGAATCCCTTGACAGTTTGAATTTTTTAAACAGTAGGATATAGTACCGCTGTCTGGGAAAAATTTCCCTCGCCCAGTCGGTGAAGAAAGATAGGATGTTAAAGCCTATTTCATTTTATACAGTGCGACAAGATCCAGCCAATGGCTGCCCTAAATACATGTAGAGGGAGAGAAATGGGGTTTAACATCCACTCGGCACAAACTAGATCCTTTTGGGACTAACATATGTTTCAATTTTATTTTAATGAACACAGGGGATAAAACTTTTAAATTCCACAGGACGATTCACAGAATTTTGGAACTATGTTCTTGAAGGCAAATCATGGTGTTCATTACCTATACTTAGAGGAGCCAATATTTATTTCCAGTGTTCATGAACAAAAAAAATCATATGTCAATTGATACTAAAAACATGTGTCTTTAATGCTTTATAAAACACAAACAGTTAATTATTCATGGTTAGGTAAATATGATGAGTTCAAATTGTATGTTCAAATTGTATGTTCAAATTGTATCTTATTGCCCAATAGATATGTTTCATTTATTGATTTGATTCGCATGGCTGCCATGTTGCATATCATAATCAAATTTTATAATTATGGTGGATTAAGTTACCATGAAACAGAATAAAATTTCACGACAAAAAGTTAGTCAAGTCCTTATATTACCTTCCCAATTCACAATTATCAGACGAACTGGACGAACTTCAAATTTTTATTGCAGTATTGCTCAGGTGGGGAAATAAAATGAGAGAGAGAGAGATGGGGTTTAACGTCCACTCGATACAAACTAGGTCATTCGGGACTAACATATGGTTTTATTTTATTTCAATAATTCGCTTGCGCGTAGGGGTCTTTAACAGTGGGAGGAAACCGGTTGACCCGGAGAAAACCCTCGAGGTTGGACAGGTGACCCTACTCCTTGTCACGTAAAACCGAGGATTCGAAACCACGCCAGTTGAGTCAATGACAGAACTGATGATGCAGCGCGCACATGTTAACCATTCGGCCATCCAACCCCCCTGAAATAAAATGAAATGAAATGGGGTTTAATGTCCTACTGTTCTGCCCCAACTGGGCTAATGAAGACGGGCATATGAAATACAGTTTTCTATGAGGTAAATTTTGCCCGGACAGCAGCGCTATGACCTGCTCTTAGTCTTATATCGAATTCCAACTGCCAAGGGATCTTTTACGTGCACACCAATGTGTACAATGGGACCTCTTTTTTTTTCGTCCCATCCGAATGACTAGATAATCCCTCCTTCCTTCACCCCTGACAAGGGGGAAGCCCTGCCAGAAAATCCTCGGTTTTACGGGACAAGGAGTAGGGTCACCTGTCCAACCTCGAGGGTTTTCTCCGGGTCAACCGGTTTCCTCTCACTGTTAAAGACCCCTACGCGCAAGCGAATTATTGAAATAAAATAAAACCATATGTTAGTCCCGAATGACCTAGTTTGTATCGAGTGGACGTTAAACCCCATCTCTCTCTCTCTCATTTTATTTCCCCACCTGAGCAATACTGCAATAAAAGTTTGAGGTTTGTCCATTGACGTGTAATTGTCTAGTTCGTCTGATAATTGTGAATTGGGAAGGTAATATAAGGACTTGACTAACTTTTTGTCATGAAATTTTATTCTGTTTCATGGTAACTTAATCCACCATAATTATAAAATTTTAATGGATTGATTTATGACATACATGTAGAATTTAAAAGAGGGATTTTACTGCTAAGGCATCCTTCTTATAAGTCAATTAGACAAAAGAAAAGCTGGGCCCTGTTTCTCGAACTCTAAACTAAAGATAAAATCCAAATTTTAGTAGATACTTCAATTTTGATTCACTAAGCACTAAAATCAATCTAATATTATCCAATCAAATTACTAAGATTTGGATTTTATCTTAGTTAAAATTTCGTAAAACAGGCCCCAGTTTATTTGGCAAATGGAGAATAATGATATGAAATTTATCAGACAAATGATAACTGCATTACAATCCTGAATCAAAAAAAATGTTTTAGCTCGTTATTCATTATTCAAAATTTAAATGCCAAATAACGAAACACACCCTGGCTCGTTATTTGTTAATCAAGCTCAAAAAACAAAATGGATTGTTTTTCTGAAAGAGAAGTGAAATAATTCTTTTGTCCATTTAAATGTGGTCAATATTGTTGTCACACCTTTCTGTCCATCTAGAGACAGCAAATATGATTCGATTCATTGAGTGATTGCAATTTATGTTCATGAGAAGCAGAAGCCTATTGATTTTTTACAAACTACGATTATAACTTGCAGAGTTCTAGCCCTTGATCGCTTTGAAAAAATCTTCAGGATGCTCTAACAGCTACATTATCGCCCAATTTATACACAGAGTTCATAAGATAAAGAAGCCTATTGATTTTCAATAACATTGCAGAGTTGTTGCCTTTGATCACTCTAAATTAACATTCAAAGAAATTATGGTCCTTGACCACTCCAAATTAACATTCAAAGAACTGAATTGAAATGAATTTGGGTTTAACGTCCTACTGTTCCTCACCGAGCTGGGCTAATGAAGACTCCCCAAGGGATCTTTTACGTGCATGCCAATGTGTACACGGGACCTCGGTTTTTCATCCCATCTGAATGACTAGATAGCTGTTCTTGTTGGGCTCTCCGTCCTGCGTCACTAATAAGAGGAAACCACGCCGGAAAATCTGGATCGACTTTCTCGGCCAATGCAGGGATCGAACACCCATCCTCCAGGCTAGCGAGCCAGCGTCTTACCCACTTAGCCACTGTGGCCCCCAACATTGAAAAAAATACACAATATGTCATGTCCATCCTATGCCTGTCCATCCTTGTGGGTTTTCTCCGGGTCCTCCGGTTTCCTCCCACTGCTAAAGACCCCTACGCGCAAGCAAATTATTGAAATAAAATTAAACCATATGTTAGTCCCGAAATGACCTAGTTTGTGTCGAGTGGACGTTAAACCTCATTTCTCTCTCTCTCCATCCTATGCTCCAATATGTACAAAAGAATAAACATGCGACCATCAGTATGGACTGCTTGGACAACCTAGCTGCAGTGGCGTTGCCTGGCAACCTATATATGTAATTGCAACTTGTTTATTTTTATTTCAGACCTGATCTGGTGTTACCGTGTAGTCTTCAATGTCCAGAGTTATTGGATAACAAGTTTGTTGAGATTGTAAGTGTATAATTACCTACAGTTTGTTTTTATTTTGAATATATGTTTGGCTGATTGGTTTACCTTGTGGGTCTGTGACTGATGGCATGGTTTCAATTCATGCTTGTATTTGGATTGAAGCATGTATAATTACAGGCCCAGGATTGTAAAGCACAGTGGAGAGAGAGAGAGAGAGAGAGAGAGAGAGAGATGGGGTTTAACGTCCACTCGACTAGGTAATATCGGGACTAACACATGGTTCGATTTTATTTCAACAATTCGTTTGCATGTAGGGGTAGGCCTATTTATCAGTGGGAGCAAACCGGAGGTCCCAGAGAAAACCCACAGGGTTAGACAGGCGACCCTACTCCTTGTCATCTACAACCGAGGAATCTAAACCACGCCAGTCGACTCAATGACAGACTTTATGATACAGCGCTCACGTGCTAACCATTCGGCCCAAAGCACAGTGGACATTTAATTTACAGCTACATGTAGCCCATGGATCGATTTACTTGATCTGGTATATATTTTTGTTGTTAGAAATGTCTGTGTTTATTGTATGTCTTGTCCGCAGGGGGGTCACGGTGGCTAAGTGGGTAAGACGCTGGCTTGCTATCCTGGAGGTCGGATGTTTGATCCCTGCATTGGCCGAAAAAGTTCATCCAGATTTTCCAGCATGGTTCTCCCATGTCAGTTATGCTGGGCAGAGGGCCTGACAAGGACAGCTGTCTAGTCGTTTGGATTGTATGAAAAACCGAGGTCCCGTTTACTTATTGGTGTGCAGCTGTGCACGTAATAGATCCTTTGACTGTTAGAATTCGATATAAGTAGGTACCAGCAGCCAAAATTCATTTCTTATTATTTCTAATATTTGATAGTTTATCATGAAAGTAGCCACCAATAGAAGCCCAGCAAAAAAAAAATTAACAAAATATCTTGATTAGTTCCGGAGATATTCATGTTTAAAGGTCTCATTTTTAACTAATATTATAAGAGTAGGCTGTAGCACCACTGTCCAGGCAAAGTGTCCCTCATGGCACACTGTATGGTCTATGCCCAGTCGGAGCAGAACAGTAGGACGTTAACGTTAAACCCCATTTGATTTTGTTTTATTTTTTTCAGATGATGTGGTTCAGTAGTGGTGGTACTAATTCTGTCGTCCATTATGATGCTGTAGATAATATCAACTGTGTTTATCGTGGAAGTAAAGATTTTGTAATCGTTGATCCTGTTAAATATGAGGGCATGGTATGTAGGCACTTTCTTTATGATCAAACTTATATAGACACAAAATTCAAATTGCTTTTACATGCAATGTGTACAAAGGACCTTAGTTTTTTGTCCCAACCGAACGATTATATGTTGTCCCTTGTCAAGCCCTCTGTTCTGCAGCACTGACAAGGGTGAACCATTCCAGAATATCCTGATGAACTTTCTCAGCCAAAGCAGGATTCGAACACTGGACCTCCAGTTAGAGAGCCAACGCCCCACCCACTGAGCCTAATGAGCCAACGCCCCACCCACTGAGCCTAGAGAGCCAACGCCCCACCCACTGAGTCTGGAGATCATCTATCTGAATAAAATGTTGTAAGAATCAATTTGATTACAATTTGGGATAGATGTGAAAAATTACGTATTGCCTGATATATGCAAATAATAATCAGAAGCATTTATCTTTCATCTTGTTAATTCTTTGTAATTAATGATTAATCTGTTATATGGTTTCCAGTTGCTATCTATATATTGCACCACATTTTTGTTAAATATCATTATTTTCTTGATAACGATATCTGTATGTGTATTGAAATGAAGCATGTTAATAAATTCAGAAGTAGTATATCCATATAAGTGTTTTTAAGAAGCTTTGATATTTTCAAATAAAATATTTGTCAATTTATATTCAGTATCAATTATTTAGATTGTCTATGCTTAAAGATGTATTATGTAAGATTTAGATAAAGAGCTGGCCAGTCTTACTATAATAGCTCAAAAATAGATAATGTAAAATGAAAATATTGAAAATTTCCTTCAAAGTACTTTATTCTTCGGCAAGTTATCACTGTTTGTAGTTTTGACAAGATGTGTTCATTGTGGTAACCAGGGCACTGGTATATTCGAGACTTAACCTCGCTTTACCATTTTTAAATTAAATTTTTAAATGACGAACTGTTCTAATCTAGTTAAATCTCAAGTATCAGATGGCATTGAGAGTTGATTATAATCTTGTTTTGTTAATTAATGTCTAATTAATAATTTATATAACATTTGAAGCCTAAAGAAAGGCCTGCAATAGGCAGATTTAGCTCTTGCATATTATGTTTAACTTTCACAATATTGTACCTTTACAAGAGAGTCAAAATCCAACAAGGCCAACTTTTACCTAGCTATTTAGAAGGCTGTGTGCAGGACCTTATTATTAAAGTGTGGGTTATGGCTTTTTTTCTTTTGTGGCTAATTTACATCATTGGGGGCTAAATTATGAAGAAACCATGTTGGAGAGGGAGGATAGTGATGTTCTGTGTTTTATTTGTTTAGATGCCAATAGTTGATTTTATTATTTGTATTGTGTCGAGAAGAAAATGTCTGTCTGTCTGTTAGATAAACATGGCTGTGCAAGCTTAATATTGACATGCTTCGACTCGGCCTGGTGTTTACACCGATAGACAATATAGGAGGAATACTCAACAGATCACAGACAAAACAAACCATCTAGAAGATGTATGAGAAATATTCCATGCAAAACAGATAAAACAAACCATCTAGAAGATGTAGGAAGAATGCTCAACAGATCTCAGACGAAACAAACCATCTAGAAGATGTAAGAGGAATACTCAACAGAGCACAGATTAAACAAACCATCTAGACAATGTAGGAAGAATGCTCAACAGATCACAGACAAAACGAACCATCTATATAATACAAATTTTTATATACCTACATTTATCATAATGTGCAATAGTAATACATAATTATATCTAAACACATCCTTTTCTCTAAACTAGTGACTTATTCATGAAGGAACATAAGAGAATAAGTACAAGATGGAGTTTTACATCCTACTTTTCTGCACCAACTGGTCTAATATGACAAACACACACCATGGAAATGAATTGAAATGAGGTTCTACCCTGACTGGGCTAATGAATACCGGCATACACCATACAGTGTACTATGAGGGTAATTTGCCTGGACAGTGGTGCTACAGCCTAATCTTATATCAAATTCCAACTGCCAAGGGATCTTTTATGTGTACGCCAATGTATACACGGGACTTCAGTTTGTCTTACCATCCAAATGACTAGACAGCTGTCTTTGTCTTCTTGTCATGCCCTCCCTCCATCCTGCACCACTGACAAGGGGGAAATAACGTCAGAAAATCCTGATGAACTTTCTCGGCCATTTCAGGGATCGATCACGCGACCTCTAGGCTAGCGAATCTGCGCCTTACCCACTTAGCCACTGTGGCTCCCGCATACACCAGGGCTTCTAAATACTAAATGGCTTGAGTTGAATTTTATAATATACATTGTAGATGTAGGTACCAATTGACAGACCTGCTATACTCATATTGTATAAGTTCTTGACAAGGAGAAGGGTCGCTTGTACAATCTCGTGGGTTTTCTCCGGGTCCTCCGGTTTCCTCCCACTGCTAAAGACCCCTATGAGGAAGCGAATTATTGGAAGAAAATTAAACCATATATTAGCCCCGAAATGATCTAGTTTGTCTTGAGTGGACATTAAACTCCATCTCTCTCATATTAGTAATCTTTATATTATAATTATAGATACATGTTGACAGACCCGAAGGATCCTATTGTATAATTTATCTTTATTTATATTATAATTATAGATACCTATTGAGTTCGGGATCCTATTGTATAATTTATCTTTATTTATATTATAATTATAGATACCTATTGACTCAATAGGTATCTATAATTATAATATAAATAAAGATAAATTATACAATAGGATCCTTCGGGTCTGTCAATATGTATCTATAATTATAATATAATTATAGTATTGACAGACCTGAAGGATCCTATTGTATAAGTTCTTTATATTGTATAATATTATTATTGTATTGTATATTTAGGTACCTATTGACAGACCCGAAGGATCCTATTCTGATATTGACGTAGATAAGTGAGTATTAACGTGCACACAGAAGTCAAAACTGTATTATTTTAAATACTGGCCCTGAATTCACAAATCATTCTTAGACTTAAGTTGAGAATTTACTCAAAATTGTTCGCCTTATTTTAACTAAAATATAGCCCTTTATATAACTTTTGTTGTTTTAATGTATTAACATTTTTCATTAAAACATCCAAAGTTATTCCCTATTTGTCACAAAATCGGATTAGCACAGCGGAGGCTTAAATTATGATTAGATCTTTTTGAAATGTTTGAATGATTTATGTGCTGGTGGGCGTATGTTCATTGACTGGCAACCTATTTTTAATGATTTTCAGGATGGATTATATAAAATATCCGACCTTAGCTAAAGTAGAATATATACACGCCCATATGGAACCTGGTGATTGTCTTTATATTCCATATAAATGGTGAGTTCATTTAGTTGTTTCTAGGGGGAGGAGGGGATCACGTGGCTAAGTGGGTAAGACGCAAGCTCGCTAGCCTGGAGGTCGGGTGTTCGATCCCTGCATTGGCTGAGAAAGTTCATCCAGATTTTCCCGCGTGGTTCTCCCTTGTCAGTGATGCAGGTCGGAGGGGCTGACAAGGAAAGCTGTCTAGTCGTTCAGATGGGACGAAAAACCGAGGTCCCGTGTACACATTGACGTGCACGTAAAAGATCCCTTGGCAGCTGGAATTCGATATAAGAGTAGGCCGTAATGCCGCCGTCCGGGCAAAATTTCCCTCATAGCACACACTGTATGGCGTATGCCCGTCTTCATTAGCCCAGGTTAGGAGCAGAACAGTAGGACGTTAAACTCCATTTCATTTCATTTCTAGGGGGAGGGGGTTGGGTGGTCGAATGGTTAGCACGGGCGCACTGTATCATAAGGTCTGTCATTGATGTGGTTTCGATTCCCTGGTTGTATGTGACAAGGAGTAGGATCTGGATCGCCTGTCCAACCTCGTGGGTTTTCTTTGGATCCTCTGGTTTCCTCCCACTGCTAAAGACCCCTATTCGCATGTGAATTATTGAAATAGAATTGAACCCTGTGTTGTTCCCGAAATGACCTAGTTTGTGTCAAGTGGACGCTAAACTCTCTCTCTCTCTCTCTCTCTCTTTCTCTCTCTCTCTCTCTCTCTCTCTCTCTCTCTCTCTCTCTCGGTGTTTCTAAGGAGTGTGGGCTCAGTGAATAAGGTGCTGGCTCACTAACCAGGAAGTCCAGGGTTAGATCCTGGTGTTGCCAGTAGCTCAGGATTTGTCAGCGTGGTTTACTCCCCTTATCAGTGGTTCATCAGATGGGATGAAAAGCTGAGGTCCCTTGTATACATTGGCATGCAAGTAAAAGTATTTGATGAAGAGAGTGCAGAAGCAAAGGTGTCCTGACAAAATTTACCTCATAGCACAGGCGACGTCCCATGCAATTTCAGCCTCATTGCACACTGCCTGGTGTTTGCTCGTTTTTATTCGTCTTTATTAGTGCTCGTTTTTATTCGTCTTTATTCGTCTTTATTAGTGCTCGTTTTTATTCGTCTTTATTAGTGCATAACTATATTTCATTTCACTTCTTTGTAAAGTTGAGTGAAAACTTCACAGTTTTACATTACCAATGGACTCTAGCTAGACTAGAATGTCCAGGTTTTGAGCCCTGGGCCCTGTTTCACGAAATTTTAACTAAAGATAAAATCCAAATTTTAGTAGATACTTCAATTTTGATTGGCTAAGCACAAAAATCAATGTAATATTATCCAATCAAATTAATAAAATTTGGATTTTATCTTAGTTAAAACTTTGTGAAACAGGCCCCTGGTGTATGACCGAGCAGAATTTCAGTAGTTTTCAAGCCTGTTGCCCACTTGTCAGGGGTAGTCTATATATTACAGGATACATCAAGTACAGTTGTATACTAGTAACCTATCTTACTATCTAATACATTAGTAATCTATCTAATACAGTTGTATACTAGTAATTTATTGAGTATGATTGTATACTAGTAATCTATCTAATACAATTGTATACACTAGTAATCTCTCTATTACATTAGTAATCTGTTTAATACAGCTGTATACTAGTAATCTATCTAATACAGATTTATACTAGTGATCTACCAGTTACAGTTGTATACTAGTAATCTATCTAATACAGTTGTATACCAGTAATCTGTCTGTTACAGTTGCATACTAGTAATCTATTTGTTACAGTTGTATAACAGTAATCTATCTGTTACAGCTGTATACAAGTAATCTAATATACTAGTAATCTGTTACCGGTGGTTACTAGTAATCTATCTAGTACCATTGTATACTAGTAATCTATCTATTATACTAGTAATCTATCTATACTAGTAATTTCTTTATTACAGGATACATCAAGTGAGATCATATAATAGTAATCTAGCTGTAAATATTTGGTGGAACCACTACGATGCGTTAGATGTTGATACGAGTAAATGTAATAAAGAATGTGATAAGACCATGACTTTAGACAAGGTTAAAACAACAGGATTTGACTACTTGTTGAACTCAAATGAAAATATAAAGTATGTTTATTTTGTATAAGGGGGGTTGGGTGGCCGAATCATGCTTTAGATCTTAGGGTCTGTCATCGAGTCAAGTGTTATGGTTTCGATTCCCAGCTTGTACGTGACAAGGATTAGGGATGTCTGTTCAACCTTGTGGGGTTTCTATGGGTCCTTCAGTTTATTCCAACTGCTAAAGACACATACGGGCAAGCAAATTATTGAAATAAAACAGAACCTTTTGGTGGGTTGAACGACACTGCAGATAGAAAATTATAAAATAAATGTTGGTTATTTTATATAGAATCATAGTTGGAAATATGCCATGAGGTTCATTGTCTGTGGTGGACAAGAAAGTTCTACTGGATTTTCTAGCATAGTATCTTCATTGTCAATGGTACCGATTGGACATATTCCTCGCAGTGTTTCGTTTGATTAGAGCTAATCCCACTAAACACTGCTTTAATGGAAGTACATTTCTGTTCAAAATTATGACTGGTCAATAGTCCGATTAACAACCAATAGCTAACTGCGTAACAATAATATTACACTTTAAACAAAGCTCCAAATTGGACCAAATATGTTTACATAACGTTACGTCATGACTCACGATTTTATTATGCCCAATTAATCAGTGCATAGCAGAATATTGCAGAAAAACTAATTGCGTGACAAATAACGCTATCAACACGGATACAATGTAAACAATACTGTTTGGAGACGACTAATACTTTCACTGTTTTTAATGCCTTAAATCACTGTCCAAAGTTTTAGGGAAGACCCCAGATTAAACGAAGGGCTGTCATGTTGCTGTACTTAGGAGATATTTGATTGAACGGGACGAAGAGACAAACTCCCTCAAAAGCTCAAGTATCATAAGCCAATCCAGCAATGGGCAGAGAGGGATTTCTCAGGCCATTGCTTCAGGAATATGCCAATTGGAGGCCCTGCCAAACAACAGAAACAAGGTCCCGTGTACACGTTGGTGTACACATAAAAGGACCAATAACCATAAGAGTAGGCCAGAGGGCTGCTGTTCAAGCAACATTTCCCTCATAGCACACTGTATGACGTATTGCATATGCCCGCCTGTCTTCATTAACCCAGGCAGTGCAGAAAAGTAGGACGTTAAAATCCCATTTCATTTGCTAAATTCCCTTCAAAAATATCTCTAATAGCACACTAAATATGCCCGTCTTCATTAGCTCAGTTGGTACAGAAAAGTAGGACGTTAAACCACATTTCCAAGCCTGGAAATAAGGCACCTGTCACTGACAATGTCAGGCACCGTTTCAGGCTTTGTCAGGCACAAAACCTCTGGTGCCTGTCATTTTGTCCGGCACTAATATGTCTTTTTTGCTGATATTATTAATACATGTCCGGCACTAAGTTGAAAATGTCAGGTACTATTTCATTAGTGCCTGACATTTTGTCAGGTACAACTAAATGTGTTAATTCCAGACCTGCACATTTCTTGTTGTCTGTTTTTAGAGCTCATTTGTCCGATGGTTTAGCAGCAGCACCTGGTAAAGTTATGACATATGAGAAATTTATTCACTATATTTGTCCGGTAAGTTTTATTTTCCTAGAACATCAGATGCCACTTGTGTGTGTGGAATAGCTTTATTTAATGCCTGCTTCCACTGTAAGACAATCTCAGCTACGTTCTAGAGAATTATTGAAATAGAGATAGAAATAGTTTTGGGCAGCTTCAGGCAGTTTGAACTGCTAGAAAGAGAAGTAGTTGCGAGACACTTCAGACAGTTTGAACTGCTAGAAGGAGCAGCAGTAGTTTGAGTCAGTTTTGGGTAGGTTCAGGTGGTTTAAACTGCTAGAGTGAGAATTACTATCAGGCAGCTTTGGGTGGTTTGAAGGGAATAACATGATCATTTTCAACAATGTTTTGGGTTTTTTTATTTTGGGGGGGGGGGGTAGGGGGTTGTCGAGTGAGCTTACATGTGCGCGTTAGATCATAAGGTCTGTCATTGAATCATGTGACATGGTTTTGATCCCAGGCCTGTTTGTGATAATGAGTAGAGTCGCGTGCCCAAACTTGTAGGGTTTCCTCAGCTTCTCCAGCTTCTTCCCACTGACAAAAAAAAACCCTATGTGCAAGCAAATTATTAAAATGTTAGTTATGAAATGACCAAGTTTGTGTCGAGTAAAACATTGAATCTTATTAAAATACAGATCTATATTTCACTTCGGTTTTTACATGAAGATCTGACCAGTTGTAGTGGAAGGTGGCATCAGAGGTCATACAAGCGGTATTTGACCCTATGACGTCAGACATTTGATTAACCAAAAGTGGGTTACCCACAGTTTCGTGCACCTCATGCCAAAAACTCGTCGCAACAGACAGTTTGATTGACTAATCCCTTACATCATCCAGAACGCGGGTTATATAACAACTCTTCCACATCCTAGTTGTAAAGACAAGTAAAATGAAATTTTGAACTGTAAAAACGAAACGAAATAGAATCTGTGTTTTAATCAGAGTAGTAAACGTTAAGTCACGTCTTTTTCTCTCTTTCCACATGAGTATTTATTTGTGTTAATGTTTATTTTAGATGATACGGGATGCTGAAGGAGATGTAAGTATTTTATGGATAGTCCTTATTTATTTTTTCTGTTTAAGATAATCTACTAGGACAATTGCCATGTAATTTTAACACTGGAAACAATTATCAGCCAAAATGTCCTGGATAGTGATTCCGCTCCGTAATCACTGTGCTATCCATGATTGTATATTTGTATTAAAGTAGCTAAGTCTCTAACTCAATATCATCCAAAGTCTTCAACATTGAAAACAGGGATTATTGGTCAATTTAAATCAACACTGATGTTGTGATCTTACCATGAAAATATGGGCTTCTGATATCCAATATTTAAGACAAAATAAACAGTTTACCATTGGTACACGAATCGTGTACCATAATGCGTTTCAGCACCATTTGTAACAAGGAACTCGAAGAACGAGGCAAGACATACAGTGACGCTATATTCCTTTCTGGAGAGCATGCGCAATAAATAATATTGGTGTAGACTGGCCATTCGATTGAGACTTCTGGCGTATTTCGGCGAACATAACAGACTTGAAATTAGAGCAAAAACATAAACGATTGAATGTAAATCAGTTTATATACAATCATATTACATTATTATATACGTTGCGAACCATTTGGGTCCATTTCTAGGTCGCTAATATAACCGATTTAGCGCGTTTAACATCCTACTGTTCATCTTCATTAGTCTGGTCGATGTAGAACTTTTCAGGGTGGTTGAGTGACCAAATGGTTTAACATCTGCGCTCTAAATCATGAGGTCTGTCATCGAGTAAACTGGCGTGGGTACGATTCCCTGGTTATACGTGACAAGGAATAGGGTGTCTCCGGTTTCCTCCCACTGCTAAAGACCCTACGCACAAGTGAATTATTGAAATAAAATTGATACAAATGTTAGTCCCGAAATGACCTAGTTTGTGTCGAGTGGATGTTAAACCCCATTTCTCTCTCGCTCTCATTGTCAGAATCTACAAAATAATATTTTTTGAAATTATTTAAGAATGTACAGATTAATTTTGTATTAATTCAGGAATTTATTAAAGAAGAAATTGATAATATGAAAGAGAATGCTAACAAGGTGAGTCAGTGATTCATGAACGTAAACAAACAATGACATATTGGGTTGTGTTTTTAAAGATAAAGAGCTGTCTGTTCTTGCTATAATAGTTTTATTAAAGATACATTATGTAAGATTTAGACACAGAACTGGCCGTTAGATAATGAGAAATGACTATAATGAAAATTCCATTCAAATTACCCTGCCTACAGTATTCACCAATTGTTGATTATACGTTGTTTTTATTTATAAGATGTTGGATGTAATAGATCAAGATAAAGATGAACAGATATCTTTACAGGACATCACAACACTTTCTTCAGCAGTAAGTGTTATATAGTGTTCCAATACTTCTAAAATAGATAATCAAATGAAATGGGATTTAACGTCGTATCTTTCAGCACCAACTAGGCTAATGAAGACGTGCATATGCCATGAGGGAAATGTTGCCCTGACAGCGACGCTACGGCCTACTCTTAAATCGAATTCCAACTGTCAATGGATGATTTACGTGCACGGCAATGTGTACATATCACCTCAGCTTTTTGTACCATCCAAATGAATAAACAGCTGCCCTTGACAAGGGGAAACCCACCAATGTGTACAATCCGAACTACTTGATAGTGTCCTTGTCAGGCCCTCTGTCCTACACCACATGACAAGTGGAAACCATGCCAGAAAATCATGATAAACTTTCTCAGCAGACGCATAAAAGACCCCTTGGCAGTTTAAATTCGATATAAGAGTAGGCCTTAGTGCCGCTGTCAGAGCAAAATTCCACTTATAGCAGACTGTATGGCGTAAGCCCGTCTTCATTAGCCCAGTTCGGAGCAGAACAGTAGGACATTAAATCCCGTTTAACTACATATTCTCAATTGTCAACTACCATAACCAATTGCCAAGATAATTAACAAACTATGCGTTGTATCATAAAGTCTGTCATTCCGTCAACTGGCGTGGTTTCGATTCCCCGGTTGTTTGTGGCAAGGAGTAGAAGTCGCCTGTCCAAGAGCTTGGGTTTTCTCTGAGTCCTCCAGTTTCTCCCACTGCTAAAGACCCCTACACACAAGCAAATTATTGAAATAAAACTTAACCATATGTTAGTCCCGAAATGACCTAGTTTGTGTCAAGTAGACTTTAAACCCCCCCTCTCTCTCTCTCTCTCTCTCTCTCTCTCTCTTTTTATCAGCAATCTACCGCCATATTCCATAATGTTGTTTTTTTTTATTATTATTATCAGCAATTGTTGGAGATATCTGGTATTCTAAATGTTATGGATGCTATACAAGATTCTATAGATCAAAAGTTCAGTGACGAGGAACTAGAGGGTGGTGACGGGCTTCAAGATGAACTTGGTGATGAAGGTCAACTGATTGATGTATTTGAAAAACTTAAATCAGATCGTGATGAACTTTAGTTATAATAATTTTTACACAATTTTTCAAATATTTCTTTTAGCAACTCATATCATTTTAGCAAGTTACTTTTCATCTGTCCCCCAGCATTCAAAGGGGTTCATCCTTCTATCTGAAATTAAACATTTCATGAGTTAAACATACATTATCCAAGAGATAAATTTGCCTATTGCAGGTCTTTCTTTAGGCCTGAAATGTTATATAAACGTCTATCTATTTCCAGCATGGTCTTTGTAGTTCATATACTGCTGCTGTAAAGGCAGCAGTGCCAATAAAAAACAAACTGAACCCCAATATTTATATACCACACATTCACATAATGTTTCCAAGAATCTATGGATGTGTGCTTGTTTGAGATGTGTTCTGTTTTAGACAGGCCTGGAAATACCGCTTTTAGATGTACCTGACAAAATGTCACGCACTAATGAAATATTACCTGACATTTTCAACTTAGTGCCGGACATGTATTAATAATATCAATAAAAGAAGACAAATCAACGCAGGAGAAAATGACAGGCACCAGAAGTTTTGTGCCTGACAAAGCCTGAATCTGTGCCTGACATTGTATGTGACAGGTGCCTTATTTCCAGGCTTGGTTTTAGATGTGTGCACTTTTGTGTAATATGTGGCCAATGGATCACATATGTTTTGTAAGAGGTGTGTTTTTTAAGATGTGTGCACTTGTTTAAGATGTGTGCACTTGTTTAAGATGTTTACACTTGTTAAGATGTTCATATTTGTTAAAGATGTGTGCACAATACAAAAAATTAAAAATGATGTCCTATTATAAAATCAAATCAATCCATACATGTGACTTTGTTCAAATTGCATAGATCTTGCTGTAGAATTATAAATTTAAACCTATAGTTCTTTTCGGAAATGTTTATTTTTTTTAAAAAAGTATTTATTAGATTTGTTAATAAATTAGATTTTAATTTTATAATTAATCCTATTAATATAATTAATATATATATATATAAACGGTCCATGTTTGGTTAAAAACCGATATCTTTTTATTTTATTTTTTAAATTTGAAAACGAGGAGGGGTACGGCAACACTCACTTAAATAAGTAGAAAAGCTGGACAGGCTGGTACATCTGCGTAGGATCTGGATCAAAAAATGATGCCGGTGGGGCGGAGTAGTAGAATAGATAAAATTAAAGAATCCCCGCCAAACAAAACCAGCAACAGACTTGTAGATTTAAAAGATCTTTATATCAATCCAACGTTTCGGGTGCAATACCCTTTTTCAAGAATGAGGGTATTGCACCCGAAACCTTGGATTGATATAAAGATCTTTTAAATCTACAAGTCTGTTGCTGGTTCTGTTTGGCGGGGATTCTTTAATTTTATTTAATTTTATCTATTTTTTAAATTTATTTAATGTTTTATTTTAAAGGGAGGCATTGCTCGACAATATGAATTTTAAAATAACTCATTTCTAATGGTACCATTATCATGAAATGTTCATGAATTATTCCAGTAGCTAAACACACACATATACTTTAATATTGCTAATTCCATGTAAATAAGGATTGTCAATACTCTAAATCAACATTTAGTGTAGTCAATTGCCATTTGAAGTTTATCATTCAAACAAAAAAATTTATAATTAATTTTTGTGGTGATGCACGACATGTAAGGACTCAATAATAACATTATATAGACTATATAACAGTGAAATGTCCTAGGAATGCTTTAAAATACGTTCCATGCTTCTATCTTGGATACATTCAGAGAACGATATTTTTGTAAGTTTAAAATTAAATTCTGCATTTCCATGGTAACCAATAAATCAAATTTTCCAAAAACTGCCTGCTTAGTATTATTTTGGCTATTGGAAAATTCCTGAAAATTTCATGGTGATAGCACTGTTAAATGTGAGTTAATTTAAAATGCATATTGCCAGCAGTGCCTCCCTTTAAAGAAGCTAAATTTCTAACTCGATATTGTCCATAATATTCGAAATTAAAAACTCGAATTATAATTTAATTTTAGTCCATTTCAATCAATATTGTTATGGGATCCTAATATACAATATTTAAGACAAATATAATTACGAATATAATGGTTTCAATCGCCATTTGTAATGAACAATGGATAAAATATCCCAGAAGACAACGTGTAAAATGTACTAAGCAGACACAAACGGATGCCGTTCAATTTGGAATGTTCACTATTTCACTATTTCAAGGAACATACCGGTAATTGATTTAAAAAATGACAATAAAAATTTGAAAAAAAATGGTGTATACTTTTAGACTTATTTTTTTCTGTTTTAAAATTCCAAAGAATAGAGCATTGCCTCCACTTAAAGAAACTGACCATTTGTGGAAGATAATTAGCCGTTGACATTCTCATTTCTTCATTAAAGGTTAATTAATCTATTTGAGTCATAAACACAAAAACATAATATTATGAAACACAATTTCTATTTTAATTGAAACGTCGCTTTAATTAAAATAGTAATTGTGCTTGTGTTTATTACGTGTGTCAATTGGTGCTCAAAGAAGATATAAGAGCCCCGGGGAAGAACGATCTAAGTCACTTTTTCAACGAATTCCAGTTAATGGCGCCATCTGGTAGCAAATTGTATAAGCTTTCTGTGGAACAATCAATTTCAGGTAAAAACGACCGGAGTCACGTCGAACCAAGGCCCTTCTGAAATGGCCTCCCGGACAAATACGTCCATCGTACCCTTTATTTGACCTTGATTTGGCTGAAAAGTGGAAGTCAGTTGTTGTACTGGTAATTATGATTCGTATTAAACATCAGTTTGAAGTTGTAATTAAACCCATTTGTTCTGTTCGCGTCAAACATTCTCGTAGAAAGGTCTGTTTTGCCTTTAATGCGAAAAGACAAAAATGTGACTTAGATGGTTCTTCCTCTGGACTCTTCATATAGATTAAGTGTAAGATTCCAATGAAAATCAATGACTTTTATTGTCTTGGAACATGATCAAATAAAGCACTATTTATGGTTAACAATTACTATGGTATATTTCACATCCAGTGGATTCAATGTTTTGATGAAAAAAATCATTTTTATTGAGAAACTTTTTATTTTTAAGTTTTTATATTTTATGATTGATTATCTTATTTCTGTGTTGTGTTGACATGTTTGAACTTTATAACAGAGCATAATAAAGTAAACTATTTGAAATGGCTTTTTAAAAAAAAAAATCACTTGATTTTAGCTTGGTTTTATTCTTCTTTGAAATAGAACTGATATTTATTTTTAAATTAAAAAAAAATCATTTGATTTTATGCCAATCTGATTAAAATACAAATCTATATATTTCGTTTCGTTATTTTATATTTTCGATAGCCTCAACTACAGGAAGATCTGGCCAGTGGTACTAGTGGGAGGTCGTGTCAGGGGTCATGATACGAGGGGATTTTGACCCTATGACGTCAGACTTTTGGGTTACTAATCAGCGTTGATGTTTCTACTGGGATACAGGCACTTTCAATGGCTAAATCCTCACATTAACCAGAACACGGGTTATATAACAACGCTTCCAGATCATAGTATGGTAAAGACAAGTAAAACGAAATTTTGAACAATATAAAACGAAACCAAATAGGATCTGTGTTTTAATCAGATTTTTTTTTTATTGTGCTGCTTTTAACTGAAAATTAAATCTAAGATAGCCGATAGCTTTACAGAGCATAATAAAAGTGAAATCTATTTTGAATAACCTTTAAATATAAAAATTATTTGAGTTTGTTTTTATGCTGCTTTTAACGATCATTAAATCTAATTATTTTTCATGCATATGTATGTATTAAATTAAATACTTCAATAAAATGGTGGATCGGGAAATTTATATTTGATGATAATGTGTTATTATATTTATGTGTTGCTTGGGGACTATTATTTATGAATTAATTTCAGAGGATTGCTTCTTTCCTGCCCCAACAGTAACACAATTCATATCACCGATCCTTATAAATGACGATTATTAAGTATTGTTTAATGGTCGAGAGCCTACGTCCCTCTTGTTGTTTCAATATATTACGCAATGTCTTAAGCTCTAGATCATTAAAGGCTCAATACCACTCTTGTTGTAACTGAATAATATGTCCTAATCTTTATTCTGGTCAAAACATCGCACTATTTTACAATATTCCAATTAATTGATGACACAAATTTCATCTTAACACACCTAATTTAAAAAATTGGAAAAATTCAACGTAAAGCTTTTCAAATGCGACTTGGATTTAAAAATATTTTTGAACCCTTTGGACAAGTAAAATATGATTTAATGGATAATTTACACAACAGGTAAGACACTAACACAAATAGTACTTAGAATAAGGCTATTTTTTTATTTTCTGGAGCTGTCAAGCTAGCAAGAGTGTTATTGTCCCTTTAAACAACTTAAAATACAGACACTATACGGCACATGCTTTTCAATGAAATACGTTACGCGAGTCCAATATTTCACTAGTATAAATAATGTACGATTGTCAAGTTGCCCGTACGATTATTTGAAATAATGGTACGCCAACATCAAAGGGTGACGTCACATTTGCATTTTTATTGTGGATTAATTTCAGAGGACTGTTTCATTTATGTCCCAACATACTGATCCTTATAAATGATGACATGAAGTACAGAACAAGTTTGATTCGGATTAAACGAATGGGACCTGGGTCGCGTTGGTATCAATCTGATTAAAACACAGATCTATATTTCGTTTCTTTTTTTTATACACTTTCGATTGCCTACACTGTAGTAAAGACAAGTAAAACAAAATTTTGAACTATATAAAACGAAACGAAATAGGATCTGTGTTTTCATCAGATTGGGCTGGTATACGCGTAACAGAACCATTGACAGTTGAAACTCAACGAAGAATCTGGTCACCGATTTTTACCTCGTCTCGACAGCCAACAAGAGGATGTGATTAAAAAATTGGTGTATCTTATTCACCGCCAGCGACCACCGATTTCTTTTAATTGGCCGCCGACTACCGCCAACTGTTCTCAAAATACAAGATATTATTAACACAATTCATAATAGGGTCTTACATTTGCACAGACATAAAATCTTCAACCGTTATGATTATATTTTCCATATAATATGACCGCCGATTTCTTTCAATTGAGGGATCCACGGTGGCTAGGTGGTTAAGACGCTGGCTCACTAGCCTGCAGGTCGGGTGTTCGATCCCTGCATTGGCCGAGAAAGTACATCTTGATTTTTCGAAATGGTTTCCCCTTGTCAGTGGTGCAGAACGGAGGGCCTGACAAAGACAACTGTCTAAGCCTTCGAATGATATGAAAAAAAGAGGTCCCGTGTATACATTGGAATGCACGTAAAAGATCCCTTGGCAGTTGGCATTCGATATAAGAATAGGCGATAATGCCGCTGCCCGGGCAAAATTTCCCTTATAGCACACTGTATATGGCGTATGCCCGTCTTCATTAGCCCAGTATAGGAGCAGAACAGTAAAAAGAGCACAATACTTAGGTTTATAAATTACGTGTCAAACGTACAAATTGAAGCTGTAACAACGGTGGATTGTGGCTAAAACTATTCTGAAGGGTTAATAGGGTTAGAATTGTGGGTATAAACACGGAAAGATATTATTCAGATCGTACAAAGATCTAGTATCGTGCCTAAGACGTAGACTACAGTATGGACTTAACATTTGAAAACTGTAACTACGATATACAAGTTATAACAAGAAATATTGGAGAATAAAAATAAAAACCCTCGTTAACATGTATTCAGGCACTCCTGCATACGGCAGGAGCCAAACTCTTACATACTGTCCGGAGAAAGGAGAAAGATCACCCGCTCCTGTCTTTTAAAGACGAAAACGCCCATAGAATCGAGTGCTATGAGGGAAATTTGGCCCGGACAGTGGCACTTCGGCTTACTCTTATATCAAATTCCAAACTGTCAAGGGATCGTTTACGTGCACGCCAATATGTACACGGGACCTTGGTTTTTCGTCACATCCGCACGACTAGACAGATATCCTTGTCAGGCCCCCGCCCTGCATTACTGACAAGGGGGAATCACGCTGGAAAACCTGGATGAGTTTTCTCGGCCAATGCAGGGATCGAACATCCGACCTCCAGGTTAGCGAGCCAGCGTCTTACCCACTTAGCCACCGTGACCCCAACTGACAAAAGACCCATGGTACTACAATACTGTATTGACCGGGCCACATTAATATATAAGGAAGGATGAATACACTATTAGTGGGGGCTTAATTATTTACAGTATTCAAGAGTTTATCGTTCATATGGTTCATTTGTCAACAATCCATCTGCAATACTCGTAAAATAATCGTTTGATAATTCAGAAATAATAGGAAGAGACTGGGACTTGGTTGAATCAGTATTTAACCAAGAATTAAATGCGTTCCACAATGTAGCTGTTTTGAATTTTTATTGACTGAAACGAGATTGTGAACATATTGTGATTTAACTTTGCTAATCATTGATTTTAATAAATGTCTAATCATTATCACCCCTCTTCTTGTGAAAATCTCGAGTTTTCATAACATACAGTACCATGTTTCGCTCTTTCTGAGTGGGTCGCCATTTCGGAAGCCGATTTTTTTCGTCTTAGGCAAATTTACTTTTAGATCCACGTTATCACAGATATTTTTTTAGTATTTAAATTTTCCCTGTAGTCCAATCACAGAATCAGTGGCGGACTGGCCAGGTTGTCAGCTTGCCCAATGACAAGTGGGCCCCTGAAGAAAAGAGGGCCCCATTAGACAATATATTTAAGATATAAATTATCAAAAAATATATAAATATGTGAGAAAAAAAATTATTAGCATGAAAATTCTAATTACATCTTTTTGTTTCCACTTACATATTTTACGAAAATTTAAATTTTAGAAAATTAAATGATAGAATTGTATTGGTGGATGGGCCCCCTTTGTTACCTGGCAACCAATATTTTCAGACCCAGTCCGCCACTGTACAGAATCAGCTACTAGGCAGTTTATCAGCGTATACGAGATGTAGTATCCTGACCCTCCGGGATGGTAAACATCATTTCTAATATATTCACTAATTTACATGGCATCAAAAAGTTGGTATATATAGAAGCATGTTGATCGGGGCCGTAACTAGCTCAGAGCAACGAGGGGGCGGGAAGGCGGGAAAAGTTATCAGGGGTGCTGTAATATTGACGGACAATGTACAATGTATATCTATTATCTTATGGTCGAAAATGTTTTCACAGCCCCCCCCCACACACACACCTAGTTACGGCCTGGTGTTAATCAATAATTAGTTTCAATGTATGTTACCATAAAATAAAAGAATCATCGGGGTTTTCAAAAGTAAAGAAAATATTCCAAAAAGGAGCGACACTTAAGTCATTTATGTACTTAGATAAATCAAAATTTTGAAAAGGTCGATCAATTATGACAGAACAGAACAGAACAGAACTTTATTCACAACTCAGATCAAATACATGACATATGAGTGATAGGTTATTTACATATTTACAAGATGGAGGCTTTTAATTTCTTAGTCAATGGACATAAATTTGTTAAGTATTATCTTTAAAAACATACATAATTTTATAATTATTGATTGTTTGCTTGAATTAAAAAGTTTATGATATTTAAAAGCATTAGGTCTTGTATAATAATATGTGGATATATATTTTTCGCGTTCTTTTGGGAATTTTTGGGAATTTTAATCCCTGTATTAAACATACAGTAAGAGATTAATCCGCCTATTGCAGGTCTTTCTTTAGGTCTTAAATGTTATATAAACTATTAATTAGACATTAATTAACCTATCCAGAAAATAATCATCACTCGATGTCATCGCTTGCTAGCCGGCGATATTTACTGGACTTGAATTCGATCTGATTAAATCCAAATCGAGACTATGTTTTTACCGTACCTACTTTAGTAATAATGATCGAGGCTAGGCCTAAAATACAAAAGCTAATATCTAGAGTCAGAGCGGATTAGTTTGACAGAAACTTTCATCAAATTCTCTTTACATTATCTAGGCTTTGACTATTATAGTGAGAACTACTCCTTTAAGCCAAGTAAATCATACGGGATAATAACATATGACACAATTACATGAATACAAGAAGTTTATTCCAGTAGGATAATGATCAGATTTAGCATAAAATGGAACATTCGTTTCAATTTTAGGACATGAATTACGTGATCGATCTGAGTCAATGATTTTGCGGTGATTCTAGTTGGAGAAGAAATAGTTTGTGTCACATACATGTCATTTAGTTCGTTCCAGTTAGGAAGCCGCGGAGGCCCAGTCAGGGGCGCACAAACATATTTTCCCAGTTGGGTGCGTCATCTAAAATTCGACCCATTTAGCATCAGAAAATCAAATCGGCCCACCCTATCATTAAAACTCATAGTTCGCCCTTGTAGTGGTGCAGAACGGAGGGCCTGGCAACGTATAGCCGTTAAGAAGGGACGAAAAAACGAGGTCCCGTGTACACGTTGACATGCCCGTAAGAGAACCCTTGGCAGTTGGAATTCGATATAAATGTAGGTACCTCATGCACATTGTATGACGTGGTGCTATGTCCGTCTTCATTAGCCCAGTCGGTGCCTCCCACTGCTAAAGACCCCTACGCGCAAGCGAATTATTGAAATTAAAATAAAATTGAACCACGTGTTTGTCCCGAAATGACCTAGTTTGTGTTAAGTGGACGGCAAATCTCTCTCTCTCTCTCTCTCTCTCTCTCCGGTGCAGAAAGAACAGTAGCCTATATAAGGCGTTTTAAAAACTCATTTCAATTTCATTTAATTTTGTAAGGTGGAGCACTATAACGAATTCATCAGATCACCAAAATTATGATCCTGGTATAATTATAAATAATTACTCCCTTCTAAGAAAAACAAACACATTAAAGATGCATGTAAGAGCTAAATCTGTTTTTAATTTGGTTTCGTACTATTATTTAGACTTTTATTCACATGACAAGCCTATAATCATCTCTCTAGAGCATTAAATGGCCAAGATTTAAATTGCTAAAATGACAATTTGACAGAAAGAAAGGCATATTATCAAATATCGATACATCGCTGCCTCTCTACAGTTAGCTCCGTCTGACAATAGATTGAAGAATGAAGTAGATATACATCGTTGTGTGCAGTATGATATCGATATAAATTATTGTTGAATTTGGTAGGTTTGGGTAGATTTGGGTGAATCGTGCTAACGCTTATTATATTATATAAATATGTAAATGACGTAATTCTTGTCCGAAGACGTTTCATATTCTCAATTTCTGGTGATATTACACAATTTTATAATATCTGAAAGTTTTATTTCAAAAACATTGCCCTTTTATTCAGTGTACTGGTTTTTGGATAGGGCAGTCTATTTTTAGTCCACTACTTCAGCAATCGAAGTGAACCGAATGATTACGCAAAAACGTGTAGATGGCGTTGACGTTGAGAAAAGAGTGATGGCGGATCAAAGCATGCAAGATTTGGAACATGCTACACAGATTGTGTTGGTAGGTTATTTCAAACACAAAATTCACAAGACAGTGTCAAATAAACACATTAATTAAAGTATACAAAATTATTTCAGTTTTTGTGATGAAAATCCATTGAAATGTCTTTGAAATAAAGTTGTTTTTTGTTTGTTTATTCCGCGCCTTCAAAAATTGTCAATAAAAAAATTCGGTCAACAGATTCGTCTGAAAACTGGGTTGAGTGAATTATCTTACTGTCAAATGTCATGGGGTGTCTTCAAATCAGGTTGTTTATCAAATTATAACATTGGCAGGCGTGTTAATTTGCTGAGAATGATTTTGCGAAATATTCCTGTCATGTCATATTACATGCAAATTTTTTATTACATGACATGGCTGATGGCAATAATTAGAATAGCCTACTAACTATTTATATAATAGTTGATCTGTCACATCTTCACTAGATAAGTAAGGTACCTCATTTGTCATCCCGGCGTTAATCCAGACTGTGAATCACAGCGGCACACACACATGCATATTACATGTGTAACTAGTTAACGCAACGAAGTGTCGAAAGTCAACCAGAAACAATACTTGATTAATTTTAAAATCAATAACTTTTAGTTAGTCATAATAGTATAAGCTTAAAGGAGCTAAATCGCTAATATTTTGGACCTAGAAATAGGCACAAATGGGTGGCAACTCATATAATAATAAACTGTTTTACATTCAATCGTTTCCGTTTTACTGTGAATTATCATCAGTTATGTTCGGCGAAATACGCCAGAGGTCTCAACTGAAAGTTAGTTTCTAGCGTCTGGTTATTCCAGTCAACACCGATAGTATTTGTTGCGCATGCTCTCCAAATAAGAATATGGCATCACCGTTTGACATGACTTAATATGTGTCTAGCCTCATTCTTTGAGCACCTTGTTACAAATGGCGCTGAAACGCATTATGGTACACGATTCGTGTACCAATGGTTAAATGTTTATTTTGTCTTAAATATTGGATATCAGAAGCCCATCTTTTCCAGGTAAGATCACAACACCAATGCTGGTTTAAATTGCAAAATAATTCGTGTTTTCAATGTCGAAGATTTTGGATGATATTGAGTTACGGACTTAGCTACTTTAAGCGTATGATTATCTTCTTAAGCTATTAATAAACACAAAAAGTTTGCAAGGTACTGAGTACATAAAACTAATAAGATCAAATCGTAGCAAATAAACATATCTACCTGACGTGGCAGAAGAGTAAAAAATACTAAATGTGTAGGACATATAACCCCCATTTCATTTCATTACTGGATGAGCTTTTTCTGCCCACTAAATGTACAGGCCTACTTATACAAGCGCACAAGAGTATCAAAAGTGACATACAGCTGGGTTATTTCTGGGCTTCACTGTTGGCAGTTTTAGAAGTCGGAAGAAACCTGGAGAATATCCACAAGGTTAGACAGGCATATTCTCGAACAACACAAGCGCAAGGCACGAGACATCTAATCTTGGTTATCTATACAGTGTCATACTTATATAGACACTACAACCATAGGTTTGGTAATTAATTCATATATCTAGGCTTTGACTTGATCCCATAAGAATTGTTTGAATATTTAACCATATTTCTAGATGTCATTTAAGGAACTGATAAATATGTTACTGTTTGTTTTGTTTACTTTCAGGCACCTCCAAATATTGTGACATCAGAACAAAGGCATGCTGCAGAAGCAGTTATATTATCCTTTAGAAAAACAAAACTGCCTTATAATACTTGTAAATTTATACTAGGTAATTCTATATTAACGTTTTTCATCCAGCTTGTGGAGTCGCATTGACACTGTGACTTATATTTTGTTTCACGTGTCTTGGGTTACATGGATGTAGTAGTTAAGAGATTAGGAAACTGGACTAGTGACTAGAATATCAATGGATCGAATCAATGTCAGGATTTTTGAAAACCAGCCTGAAGCATAGGCTGCAAGTTTTGCAACATCTGGACGTTGCTAGATTACTTCACAATTCTCGAACTTATCTACTGACACATGAACAGTAGAGTCCAATCAGAGGTTGTGACATAGTGACCACCAAGGAAACCTTGACATTGAGCAAACCTTGAACTTTGCAACTTGATTATCACAGGTAGACATTTTAGCTTGAAAGCACGAGAATCTGTATTCCCGATGATCGAGGAATCTGATAGACTCACAAACTGGGCTTGTACCCAATCGAAATGAATGCCGAAATATGCAGGGTATTACATGAAGGCCCTGATAAGATGTACGTAGTTAAAGCGAGATCAAGCCTTCTATTGAAGATGGGTATCTGCAAACCTGACAAGGAAAGTCTGACGTGACACATACCAGAACCCTTTGCCATTTGGTAGTACAAGAAGTGTAAGCAAAAACACCACTGTCCAGGCAAAATTCTCCTCGCTCATTGAGGACTGTGTAGCCAAATGGTTAAACACATTCACTTTAGATCGTCAGATCTGTCATTGCGGCAAGTGGTGAGTTTTCGATTCCACGCTTGTACTTGACGAATAGGATTGTCTGTCCAACCTTGTAACTTTTTCCAGGTCCTCTGGTTTTTTCCCGCATGTAATGACCTCTACGCTCAAGTGAATTATCGAAATAAAATTGAACCATATGTTAATTTGAAGTGACCTAGTTTGTTTCGAGTGGACGATAAATCCCATTCCTCTCTCAATCCCATCACATTACATGAAGAATGGCTTTCAATTTGTAACATTATTATTTCCTATGTTTCATCCAGATTTTCCGGAGTGGTTTTCCCTTGTCAGTGATGCAGGATGGAGTATACATTGGCGTGCACGTAAAAGATCCCTTGGCAATTGGAATTTGATATAAGAGTAGGCCGTAGTGCCGCTGTTAGGGCAAAATTTCACTCATAGCACACTGTATGGCGTATGCCCGTTTTCATTAGCCCAGTTCGAAGCAGAACTCTCTATTAATCACATTACATGAACGTTGACTTTCATTATGTAATATTATTTAATATGAAATTTTGTCTTTTTCAGAGAATACAAAGAGTGATTATGTATTATTTCAAACAGCCACTACATTAAAGGAAGCAGTAGTTCGAGAATGGAATTTATTAAGTGCAGAAGATATAGAATCATTGAGATCCTTTTTACTGAGATATATCACAAAACATATCAGGTATCACCCGTCTTTGTTAGTCCTCTCGGAGCAGAACAGTAGGACATTAAACCCCATTTTATTTCATTTCAGTAGAATTGTCACTTGATATAGTATCTGATCGTGTCATAACACACTGTATGGCGTATGCCCGTCTTTGTTAGCCCAGTCGGCGCAGAACAGTAGGACGTTAAACCACATTTCATATTTTGTTCTAAACCTTTCTGGAATTACTAGAATGGGTTTGTCTGTCTAACAAACTGTTTTTAAAGCTAGCTTATTGATTAAATTTGGTATATAAAACATGAATATAAAAATTACAAATGAGCTAATGGAGACAGGCATAACATCATACAGTGTGCTATGCACTATGGCCTATTCTGATATTGAATTCCAACTGTCAGAGGTTCTTTTACATGTTCTGATGTTTTTCCGTCCCATATATTGTGTATATTTTTGTATAGTTTACAGAGTTATGTAAGAGAACAGATATTACAGACAGTAGCGGTTATATTAAAGAGAGGTACTCTAGATCCTAAAGGTTCAGGATGTGAAAATATGTTCACTGACGTCACTAGTCTCATTAGCAGTGGTAACGTTACAATGGTGAGTATACTCAATATATAATATGCTGTGCTCCGTCCATCTCCCAGTGTGGAGGTAGAGGTGGAAGGTTGAATGCAATGAAATGAAATGGGGTTTAATGTCCTACTGTTTTGCTCCAAACTGGGCTAATAAAGACAGGCATATGCCATACAGTGTGCTATGTGGGAAGTTTTGCACGGACAGCGGCACTACGGCCTACCCTTATATCAAATTCCAACTTCAAGGGATCTTTTGCGTGCAACCCAATGTGTACACGGGACCTCATTTTTTTTTCATCCCATCCGAAGGACTAGACAGCTGTTCTTTTCAGGCATGGTTGAATGCTGTCACTAGTCCAATTAGCAATGGTGAGTATTGTCCATATATAATGTGAATGCTGCTCCATCCATCTCGCAGGGGGGTTGGGTAACTGAATGGTTAGCACTTGTGCGCTGTACCATAACGTCTGTCATTGAGTCAACTGACGTGGTTTCGAATCCCCGGTTGTACGTGGCAAGGAGTAGGGTCACCTATCCAACCTCGTGTGTTTTCTCCGGGTCCTCCCACTGCTAAAGACCCCTACGCGCAAGCGAATTATTGAAATTGAATTAAACCATGTGTTAGTCCCGAAATGACCTAGTTTGTGTCGAGCGGACGTTAAATCACTTTTCTCTCTCTATCTATCTCCTGGGGATGTTCAACAACTTCACTAGTGGTAACGTTACAATGGTGTGTATAGGCAATTCATAATGTAAGCTATATTAGAAAATTGTTATCTTTTCATGGTCATGTGCAAAGAAAAGAACCCTTGACAGTTGAAATTAGGTGATATGTGAGAATATTTATTTTACGATCTTTAGAGGCAGTTAGTTACTATGTTATAGTTTGTTTAATTTATATAATCGAATTATTGTGATGTTTTGTTTCAGCAATTGGTTGCCTGTTCGATGTTAACGTCGTTATTAAATGAATATTCCAGTTCTAGTCGAACCAGTAACGCTGGTTTTACCTGGGAATTTCACAATAGATGTAAACGTACATTTGAGGTAGGCCTGTGTAATAATATTAAATTTAGTACTAATAATGTTTTATGATTTTGCCAAGGCCCTGTGTTCACATTGGCTTGACATAAAGTGAACCCTTGACAGTTGGAATTTGATATAAGAGTGGGCCATAGAGCCGCTGTCTGAGCAAAATTTCCCTCATAGCACATTGCATGGCATATGCCCGTCTTCATAAGCCAAGTCTGAGCAGAGCAGTGGGACGTTAAGCCCCTTTTTATACGCCCACATTTTCATGTGGACATATATTGTCGTCACCCCTGTCCGTCCGTCCACAATTTGTTTGTGGACACTATACAGGTCACGATTTTTATCCGATTTTGACGAAACTTGAAATATAGGTCAATCTCCCAAAGATCTCGGTTCCTTTCAATATTGGCATGTATCGGACCATAACTTCATGGATTATGGCCCCTGATTGTACGAAAAATCACGTTTTTAGCTTGTGGACACTCTAGAGGTCACAATTTTGATCTGATTTTGATGAAACTTGAAATGCATGTTTATAACCCAAAGATCTTGGCTCCTTTCGATATCGTAACTTCCTGAAATATGGCCCCTGATTGTACGTTTCCTGCCTGGCAGCCACTGGTCATTTCTTCTTATTGTTTTTTTAGGCAACTAATTTAAAGAAAGTTTTCCTGTTCTGTTTACAAGTTTTAAATGAAATAGATGGTCAACCTACACCTTTAACAAGGGAGGCAATCGCTGTATTAAACAGAGTTCTCTCTATAACAGAACAGGTGCTTTCATGGGAATTTACACCCAAAAATTGTATCCTTTGTTATATTTAATTATATTTTTATTGAGACACAGGTGTAAAAATATTTAGTAAGATATATAATTTGTAATTTTTAATAATCACTACAGTGTTAATGTTTGAGAAGAATAAGCCTATCAATTTTGGGGGGTTGGATGGCTGAATGGTTAGCACGCGCGCGTTGTATCATAAAGTCTGTCATTGAGTCAACTGGCGGGGTTGCGAATCCCCGGTTGTACGTGACAAGGAGTAGGGTCGCCTGTCCAACCTCGTGGGTTTTCTCCGGGTCCTCCGGTTTCCTCCTACTGCTAAAGACCCCTACGTGCAAGCGAATTATTGAAATAAAATTAAACCATATGTTAGTCCCGAAATTACCTAATTTGTGTTGAGTGGACGTTAAACCCCAGTTCTCTCTCTCTCTCCCTATAAATTTCCAGTGATGTTCGATAATTACTGTCAGTATTTTGAGTTTTAAAAAAGCTTTGTGATTATCACATACCACAGCATACCTTAAAGATACATTATGGGAGATAAGATAAAGAGATGGCAGTTCTCCATATAATTGTTAAAAACTAGATAGTGTAAAGGTAATTTGCTGAAAATTTCTGTCAAATTGATCCACTATGAGCCGAGAAAGAAGCGGGTGAAATTTTTGCATAGTCTCGGTCATCATTACTAAAATCATTAATATAAACAGCATAGTCTCGATTATCCACTTTTTCTGATTTAATTATCAACGACCGTTAGCGGCATATAGGAATCTAATCCAGCCAACATCGAAGGCTAGCCTTGACATCGAGAGTTTATTATGGTCTGAATAAGTTAATTAATGCCTAATTGATAGTTTAGATAACATTTCAGGCCTGAAGAAAGACTTGTAATAGGCAGATTTTGCTCTTGCATAATGCATGTTTAAGGATACATTATTTAAGATTTGGATAAAGAGCTAGCCATTCTTGCTATAATAGTTCAAAAATAGATAATGTAAAATGAATGATTTGAAAATTTCATTCAAATTACTCTATTGCGAGCGAAGATATTACCCTTTGAAGGTTTGACAAGACGTGTGCAATAATTTCAACCACCGCACTGGTTGTTCGAAGCTAAGTTTCGCTCCTCATTTTTAGCTTAAATCAAAATATGGTTGAACTGTTCTAATCTATTTAATATCGAAGAAATCTGATGTCATCGAGGGTTGATTATGGTCTAGATAAGTTAATAAATGTCTAATTAATAATTTAAATAACATTTCAGGCCTAAAGAAAGACTTGCAATAGGCAGATTTAGCTCTTGCATAATGTATGTTTAATAATGTGACTTGATTTATATTTTTTGAATTCCTTAATGAGTATGTACAGTAATGAGAAGAAGAATAGGATTATTTGAAACTAATAGTTACGTTACATTAAAACCTAATGAAGCATGGAGAGATACTTTATTAGATAGAAATATTTTACAACTATTCTTTAAGGTAATGTTTACATCTTTCTTGTGGCTCAGTAGTTAAAGTGCTGACTCTCTAACCAGGAGGGGGGGTTGGATGGCTGAATGGTTAGTGTGCGCGCGCTGTATCATAAAGTCTGTCATTGAGTCGACTGGCGTGGTTTCGAATCCCCGGTTGTACGTGGCAAGGAGTAGGGTCGCCTGTCCAACCTCGTGGGTTTTCTCCGGGTCCTCCGGTTTCCTCCCACTGCTAAAGACCCCTACGCGCATGCGAATTATGTAAATAAAATTAAACCATGTTAGTCCCGAAATGACCTAGTTTGTGTCAAGTGGAAGTTAAACCCCATTTCTCTCTCTCTCTAACCAGGAGGTCTCGGTTTCGATCCCAGTTTTGTCAGTTGAGTGTCAGGCTAATAAAATTAGCTCAAAATAGGCCATATCCCAAAACAAATTGCACCTCAAAAGTTAGCTTTTGATTATCATTCAGTAGGGTATTCTGCATGTAAAAACAAGTCTCCAAAAATCGAACACCTGGAAAGGGACTAATTAGCATAAATTCAAGATGGTTGCCATTTTCCAACTTAACATCCAAATGGGTCGAATAACCGATGTCTTGAGTAAAACATTGACTTAGACGCAAAAGAACCCTTGACATAGTATCCCGAGCTGTTGTAGTCCCGGGCAAAATTTCCATCATTGCTTACAGCAAAATGGAGGGCCTGAAAACCACAGCTGTCTAGTCCTTAGGAGGATACGGAAAACCAAGGTCCCGTGTACACATTGGTGTGCACATAAAAGATCTCATGGCAGTTAGAATTCGATATAAGAGTAGGCCGTAGTGCCGCTGTCAAGGTCAAAATTTGCCTCATAGAACACTGTATTTCATATGCCCATCTTCATTAGCCCAGTCGTAGTCGAACTTTAAACCCCCATTTTATATCATTTCCTACGAATTACACAAAAATATATTTTTAGATTTGAAAATAAAGTAAGACGTCTATCTATAAAATTACTTGTTTATTGACAAGACAATGACAATGTAACAAATGAAGAGTCCAGGGGAAGAACGATCTTAGTCACATTGTTGTCTTTTCGCATAAACGGCAAAACAGGCTTTTGGATGAGAATGCTTGACGCGAACAGAACGCGTGGGTTTAATTACAACCTTAAAATGATGTTTAATATGAATCATAATTACCAGTAGAACAACTGACTTCCCATTTTCAGCCAAATTAAGGTCAAATAAAGGGTACAATGGACGTATTTGTCTGGGAGGCCATTTCAGAAGGGCCTTGGTTTAATGTGAGTTCGATCGTTTTAACCTGAAATTGATTGTTCCATAGAAAGTTTACACAATTTGCTACTAGATGGCGCCATTAACTAGTGTTCGTTGAAAAAGTGACTTAGATCGTTCTTCCTCGGGGGCTCTGCAAGTGTTTAAAATGTTTTTTTTATTCAAATATTGTTTTTTTTTCGCAGATACATGAGAAAGCGAGGTTCAATTCCGAAATGGCTCATCATTCCATTCAGTGTTTAGGTCAACTGGCATCGTTAAATGGTTCTATATTTGTTAATGACGAGGCTAAGACTCAATATCTCCAGTCATTTCTAGATGGTTTCCTTCATTTACTTGCCAGGTTGGTTCAATAACAAATCTTTTATGTCTAGGGCCTCACTAATTTCATTTTCTGTGTTAAAATTTGCTTTTTTTTTTATTCTGGAAAACAAAATGATGTGTCATTGCTATGTTCAAAAGCTTTTAGGGAGGTTGGGTGGCCGAATGGTTAACGCGTGCACGTTGTATCATAAGGTTTTGATTCCCCACTTGTACATGAAAAAGAATAGGGTTGTTTGTCCAACCTTATGTGATTTGTCCGGGTCCTCCGGTTTCCTCCCACTACTAAATTAAACCATATGTTAGTGCCGAAATGACCTAGTTTGTGTCGAGTTGACCTTAAACCCAATCTCAATTGATTTTATCCTAAATCAGAGAATATTTTAATCAGATTTGCATCTATCAAGTTTTAAATCTGGTTTATAAATATAAAACTAATTTATAATAATTAAGTTGAGCTACTGGCTTTCTAACTCAGAGGGGATCCAAGGTGGCTAACTGGGTAAGACGCTGACTTGCTAGCCTGAAGGTCCCTGCATTGGCCGAGAAAGTTCATCGTGATTTTCCGATGTGATTTCCCCTTGTCAGTGGTGCAGGACGGAGGGCCTGACAAGGACAGCTGTCTACTCATTCGGGTGTGACGAAAACTGAGGTCGCATGTACACATTGACGTGCACATAAAATATCCCTTGGCAGTTGGAATTAGATATAAGAGTAGGCCATAGCACCGCTGTTTGGGCACAACTTCCCACATAGCACACTCAATCTGATTAGAATACAGATCTATATTTCTTTTCGGTTTTTTTATACTTTCGATGGCCTACACTACATGAAGATCTGACAAGTTATAGCCATAGGTCACATCAGGGGTCAAAAGACCGACTTATGACCCTATGACGTCAGACATTTGATTAACCAATCAGCATTGATGTTACTAGTGGATTACCCACAGTTCCGTGCAAAACATGTCTAAAGCTCGCCGTAACAGACCGTTTCATTGGCTTGTCTCTGACACCATTCAGAATACGAGTTAAATAACAACTCTTCCAGATCCTAGTGTAGTAAAGACAAGTAAAACGAAATTTTGAACTATAAAAACGAAACGAAATAGTATCTGTGTTTTAACCAGATTGATAGCACACTATATGTCGTATGCCCGTCTTCATTTGTCCAGTCTGAGCAGACCAGTAGGACGTTAAACCCCATTTCATTTCTTCTTATTGTATTTCCAGATACATTTTATTTCTTATTTCATTCTAATCTATATTACAGTATTGATCTACAAGATTTTGAGAATCTCGGGGTGGCGACGACGTTTAAGAATTTATTAATGATGTTTCCACTGCCATGTTTCCTAGCGTTACCAGATACTCACTTCCAGGCGTTAGTTGATCACATGACCAGATTGACAAGTCACATGGGTAGATTAGCAGCCATGGAAGAAGCAGTAAGTATTGATTAAAGCGATAGTTGCTTATTTTATTAAAAGAAATTATAACATAATTATTTTTATATCACAATCAAAATATTTTAGTTTAAATTTTTATGAATAAAGACCCAAGATTCTCCATATACGGATTTGGTTAATTTTTCCTATCAGTTACAGGGTCCGCGATGGCTCAGTGAGTAAGACACTGGCTCTCTTCTCTAGCCCGGAGATCTGGAGCTCAATTAGAAAGTTGATCATGATTCTCCGGCATGGTTACCACCTTGTCATCAGTGATGCAGGACGGACGGCCTGGCAAGGGACAGTGTATAGTCATTTAAGGGGACGAAGAATTGAGGTCCCGTGTACAGAAGAACCCTTGACAATCACAATACAATATAAGCAAAATTTCCCTCATAGCATACTGTATGGCATAGGCCCGTCTTCATTAGCCCAGTTGGTGTAGAACACAGTAGGACGTTAAAATCCCATTTCATTTCATGTCAGTGGTGCAGGACGGGAGAGCATGACAAGGAGGCCGCGCGTACACATTGACGTGCATGTAAAAGAACCTTTGACAGTTGAGAGTAGGCTGGGCAGAATTTCACTCATAGCACACTGTATGGCGTATGCCCATCTTCATTATCCCAGTCGGAGCAGAACAGTAGGATGTTAAACCTCATTTCATTTGATTTCAGTTACATAAAGATGATACGATATATATGGAAGGTTATGAGAAGATGTTGGAGACGTGGATGCAGTTGATATCAGACGTGAAATCTTTACCAGATGGCGCTCTTAAACCACAGGCGTCGCAGATATTTAACTCTTACTTACAGTGTCATATTAGTCCACCAGATGGCATACGATCACAGGTGAGTGTCATATTAGTTCACCAGATGGCATTCGATCACAATTGAGTGTCATATTAGTCCACCAGATGGCATACGATCATAGGTTAGTGTCATATTAGTCCACCAGATGGCATACGATCACAGGTGAGTGTCATATTAGTCCACTAGATGGCATTCGATCACAATTGAGTGTCATATTTGTTCACAAGATGGCATCCGATCACAGGTGAGTGTCATATTACGTGTAGGATAAAGCACAAGACTGAGGTTATGCTGGGGAAAGAAAGACTGAATAAAATAACCCGAGAAAAAGAAAAACTGAAGCCGGTAGGCCGAGGTTTTTCTGTTGAGGGTTTTTTCTGAAGTCTTTCTTCCCCAGCATAACCGAAGTCGAGGACTTTATCTTGCCTATAAACCGTCTATGTTTACATGTACGCAACATGAGAATATCCCAGAATTCCCGCAAGAAAACCTTATATCATGTTTTCTTATGGAAAACCTACCCTGGAACAATAACCCGTTACAGGTTTAAAGAAAAACTTTCAGAAGAATATAACCCCAAATTTCCCTAAATATCCAAAACCTCCCCCGACTTTCAGACCGCAAGTTATTCCGGGCATAGAATATACCCCAAAGATCAAAGAGATTTACCGTTACAGGTTTATAATCCATCAGGTGGCATACAATCACAAATCAGACTTTCATATTCATTTACTGCGTTTTTAAGGGTGTTGGGTGGCCGAATCGTTTAACATGTGTGCACTTTAGATCATAAGGTCTGTCAATGAGTCAAGTGGTGTGGTTGCGATACCAAGCTTTTACTTGTACAACTTTGGATAGGGTGGCTGAATAGTTTAACACATGCTCTTTAGATCTTAAGGTCTGTCATTAGCCAGGGGGTTGGATGGCTGAATGGTTAGCGTGCGCGCGCTGTATCATAAAGTCTGTCATAAAGTTGACTGGCGTTGTTTCGAATCCCTGGTTGTACGTGACAAGGAGTAGGGTCGCCTGTCCAACCTCATGGGGTTTTTTCCGGGTCCTCCGGTTTCCTCCCACTGCTAAAGACCCCTATGCGCAAGCGAATTATGTAAATAAAATTAAAGCATATGTTAGTCCCGAAATGACCTAGTTGTGCCGAGTGGACGTTAAACCCCATTTCTCTCTCTCTCTGTCATTAGCCCGATTGGTGCGTAAAATGTGTGGCATTAAACCCTTTTTCATTTCATGTGACAGATTCAGACATCACACCTTTAATATCAGACACCAGTTGTCTTGCACTATTTATAGTAACATGTTTACTTTCATTTTATTATTAATTGTAGAATTGTGCTGAAGCCGGAGTAGATGATGAAGAAATAGATGAATTGGATGAAGATGATCGTGACAAGTTTTCTGATCAGTTGTGTTGTATCGGGGCGCTAGCTAGAGTTATACCTGAACATTCCATTCCATTATTAGCCAAGTGAGTTATCTACCTTGTTTCTACTTTGTTACCTCCGTCTGTCAGTCTGGGGGGGGGTTGGATGGCTGAATGGTTAGCGTGCGCGCGCTGTATCATATAGTCTGTCATTGAGTCGACTGGCGTGGTTTCGAATCCCCGGTTGTACGTGACAAGGAGTAGGGGCGCCTGTCCAACCTCGTGGGTTTTCTCCGGGTCCTCCGGTTTCCTCCCACTGCTAAAGACCCCTATGCACAAGCGAATTATTGAAATAAAATTAAACCATATGTTAGTCCCGAAATGACCTAGTTTGTGTCGAGTGGACGTTAAACCCCATTTCTCTCTCTCTCTCTCTGTCAGTCTGGAACATTAAGTTTGATTTTTATGCATGTGAGTTATCTACCTTGATTGTACATTGTTGTTACCTTAGTCTGTCCGCTTGGCGCGCAAGGTAAAATGAAATGAAATGAGGTTTAACTTCCTACTGTTCTGCTCCTAAACTGGGTTAATGAAGATGGGCATATGCCATGCAATGTGCTATGATTAAAATTTTGCTCAGACAGCGGTACTACAGCCTACTCTTATAGCGAATTCCAACTGTCAAGGGATCTTTTACGTGCACGCTAATGTGTACACGGAAGCATGCCAGAAATCTGGATGGACTTCCTCGGCCAATACAGGGATCAAACACCTCCAGGCTAGCGAGCCAGCGTCTTACCCACTTAGCCCCCATGGCATGCAAGGTATCTAATACTAAAGGGGGTGGGAGACGAATGGTTTAACACGAGCGAGGTTTCGATTCTCAGCTTGTACCTGACAAGGAGTAGGTTTTCAATCACCAACCTTATGGATTTTCTCTCCTGGTCCTCCGGTTTCCTCCCATTGCTAAAGGCCCGTAGGCGCAAGTGGATTATTGAAATAAAATTGAACCATATGTTTATCCTGAAATGACCAAGTGAATGTTAAACGATCTTTCTTTCTTGTAATAAACAGGCATTCATTTTTCATGTCTCTCTACCTGCGTACTTGACGATTTCATGTATATTCTACATTCTGATTAAAACACGGATCCTATTTCGTAGTTCAAAATTTCGTTTTACTTGTCTTTACTACACTAGGATCTGGAAGAGTTGTTATCATTGACATGTTCTGAATAGTGTGAGGGATCAGCCAATGAAATGGCCTGTTATGGCGAGCTTGTTTTGCACGGAACTGTGGGTAATCCACTAGTAACATCAATGCTGATTGGTTAATCAAATGTCTGATTTCATAGGGTCAAAAGTCGCTTGTATGACCTCTGACGCGACCTATCGCTACAACCGGGCAGATCTTCATGTAGTGTAGGCCATCGAAAGTATTAAAAATCAAAATGGAATATAGATGTGTATTTTAATAAGATTGGGATATTCTAGAAAGATAAAATGATACTCCGGTTACAGTGATGTGTGTTTATTATTATTTTGTATTATAGTTGTAGAGTAGTAGATGTGATTGTATTATATTATATTTGTAGAGTAGATGTGATTATATTGTATTATATTTGTAGGGTATATTATATTATATTTGTAGAGTAGATGTGATTATATTTTATTATATTTGTAGGGTATATTATATTATATTTGTAGAGTAGATGTGATTATATTGTATTATATTTGTAGAGTAGATGTGATCGTATTATATTTATAGAGTATATGTGTGATTATATTTGTATATGTGATTATATTGTATTATATTAGTATATGTGATTATATTGTATTATATTTATAGGGTATATTGTATTATATTTATAGGGTATATTGTATTATATTTGTAGGGTATATTGTATTATATTTGTAGGGTATATTGTATTATATTTGTAGGGTATATTGTATTATATTTGTAGGGTATATTGTATTATATTTGTAGGGTATATTGTATTATATTTGTAGGGTATATTGTATTATATTTGTAGGGTATATTGTATTATATTTATAGAGTATTAGAAGAGAGAGTGAGTAGATTAAACGGTCAGTTACAGAGATTACAACAACAGCGAGAATCACTCGGTAGTTTAGAGGCTTCGTTTGATACCTCCATTTTAAATATATTACATGAAGATCTCCATTGGTTAATTTTAGTAGCAGGTTAGTTGATATTGTCATTATATAGAGTGATGCTGGATGGCCGGATGGTTAGTGTGTGTGCTTGTATCATAAGGTCTGTCGTTATCGAGTCAGCTGGCGTGATTTCGATTCCCCGGTTGTACGTGCCAATCAAAATATCAATAATAGATTATCTCTCAGATTGGATTAAAAAAAAATTTAGTGAGAAAATTGGTGACATTGTCTTGAGATTTAATTTTCACAATATTGTCGTTATCAAGGAGATTAATAATTCCTCAAAGCCATTTTAAATACTGTTTTAGCACATATAATTGACGGGGTGTGGCATGACCTAATGGTCTAGAGTGTCACTGCGAGCTCTAGCTGGCTCGTCACCTCTGATTTGAAGGGGGGTTGGATGGCCGAATGGTTAGCACGCACACGCTGTATCATACGGTCTGTTATTGAGTCAACTGGTTGTACGTGACAAGGAGTAGGGTCTCCTGTCCAACCTCATGGGTTTTCTCTGGGTCGTACGGTTTCCTCCCACTGCTAAAGACCCCTACGTGCGAGCAAATTATTGAAAGAAAAATTAAATATGTTAGTCCCGAAATGACCTAGTTTGTGTTGAGTGGACGTTAAACCCCATTTCTCTCTCTCTCTCCTCTGGTTTGACGTTGTGGTTTCGATCCCTGGTGTGAGTGTATGCGGCTTCTCAACCTCATGGATTTACTTCAGGTACTCCTGTTTCCTCCCAGAGATAAGACCCCTGTGCAAGCGCTGAGCATATTAGAATAAGATAATTTGTCTGGGATTTCACAATCAGTGGAAACGGATGTTAAACACTAAATGAAGAAATGTTTTACATTGCCAGAATTAAAGATACATTATGGGAGATTAGATAAAGAGCTGGCAGTTCTCACTACAATAGTTAAAAACTAGATAATGTAAAGGGAATTTGCTGAAAATTTCAATCAAATTGATTCACTCTGAACCAAGATTTTAGTGATTGAATTTTTGGCTTAGCCTCATTCATCATTACTAAAGTCGGTACGATAAAAGACATAGTCTTGATTATCCATTTCATGATTAAATCATGAATGAAAATTGAGCAGCAAATGGGATCCTAATCCAGTAAATATATCGCAGGCTAGCGATGACATCGAAAGTTGATTATAGTCTTGATAAGTTAATAAATGTCTAATTGATAATTTATATAACATTTCAGGCCTAAAGAAAGACCTGCAATAGGTAGATTTAGCTCTTGTATAATGTATGTTTAATAATTTAGATCAGTTTGATATATTAATCCCTGATGCTGATTGTCTTGTATTTTAGCCCATGTATTAACAGAAGAAGCTGAAGGGGAAACCCCTATGATACCAGCGGATATAATGGATTATTCTATTAGTAATAGTAAAAATGTAGATATACAAACCACGTTGAAAGTTTTAGCATCACCTGGTGAACGAGTGGATGATATACCTGGTTCACAAACTACAGACAGCGTCGTTAGGTTGGTCTTTTACATTTTTATATGCGCGCTTGAAAATGTTTGTTCAGGATTTCACAAAATAAAGAGTTGTTGAGATACATTTTATATTGGTTGCCCCATTGGTCTAACTTGACTGGGGCTCAATTTGCGATATCCCAAAGTCGATGGTTTAAAACATTCACAGGGTCATAATGGTTAATTTGATACCACATGCAGGCATCTTTGATTGTATTTATATAGAGGGGGGTTGGATGGCTGAATGGTTAGCGTGCGCGCGCTGTATCATAAAGTCTGTCATTGAGTTGACTGGCGTGGTTTCGAATCCCCGGTTGTACGTGACAAGGAGTAGGGTCGCATGTCCAACCTCGTGGATTTTCTCTCCGGTCCTCCGGTTTCCTCCCACTGCTAAAGACCCCTATGCGCAAGCGAATGATTGAAATAAAATTAAACCATATGTTAGTCCCGAAATGACCTAGTTTGTTTGTGTGTCCCTCTGTTTGGCAGGTGCCTTTTGTCCATGCTTGCTTTTCATTTTTTTGATAACCCAGAACAGTTCAAAAGGTCTACTTTTCTCTGTATTTGATGTATGATTATTCCGAACTATCTGTTTTCCAGGTTGATATCAGCTGTATTTAGACTGTGTGAGGTAGAAACACGGGCGGTTAGCGCACAATTAACAGATTGTGTAAGTCCGCAAGTAGGAAGTAGTACCATGTGGTTTTTAAGGCGTTGGGTATTGTCGTATCTTTTACCTGATGAGAATTACTACAACCAGGTGATTATATTTATGTTGTTATTTCACAGAAAAGCCACACCCTTGTGATGAGGTTATGATTGATTTTTGATTTGCAGTGATTGTATGAATTTATAAAATTAACCTGTTAAACACCGACACCCTGACCGATGTTAGGCCTATATACTAGCCTTTCAGCGTAAAAAGGGACCAAAAATACTTTTTTTTGTAATATTATGAACCCTTAGGACCAGAGCGGCTAGAATACAGAGCAGTCAGTATATCGGTCGCCACAGGTACATGTTTGTTACTGATAGTCCAACCGGTACTCCAGCCAAGGGGTGTCTGAATTGGCCCTGAGTTCACAAAACATTCTCAGACTTACGTCAAGAATTTACTTAACTTTCAATCACTGTTTATGAGAAATATCTTTAATCCAGACAACCAAAACTTTGCACAGTTTCTTATTGGTGTATTTCATACATTAAAACAACAAACGTTTTATAAAGGCCAATATTTTAGTTAAAATAAGTGAACAATTTAGAGTAAAATTTTAACTTAAGTCTGAGAATGCTTTGTGAACTCAGGATTGATGATCCAAATGTGTTACTCGACAAAATGGGGTGTTTTGGGTGGCCGAATGGTTAACGTGTGTGCATTAAATCATAAGGTCTGTTATTGAGTCAAGTGGCGTGGTTTCGAGTAGGGTAACCTGTCTAATAACCTTGTAGGTTTTCTCCGAGTCCTCAGGTTTCCGCCCACTGCTAAAGACCTCTACGTGCAAGCGAATTATTGGAATAAGCCAGTGGAAAGAAACATTAAGCCCTTTCATTGGTCAAGAGCATGTTAGGGGGGTGGGAAATTCACAAACTTTTTTGAGACTATTGACCAATAAGATTACTAAGCGTTTTATAGTGCGAACTATTCTAGAACCAACACAATTAATTTCTGGAACCAACGCAAGTCAAGAAAATAAATGCTCATATTTTGTCATCAATAGCATGCTATAAGAAACATTATCTCTGTGCATTATTTGCAGTTTTTGGAAAATAATCTTGAAGCTTGTTTAAAAAGTTCTAAATAAATAAATCAAATTGAAAACCGAAAAAAAAACCAATTTCTTGTGCCAGACCTGCTACATTGATGTTGCAGTTCTTAAAGCTGTTAGGGGGGTTGGATGGCTGAATGGTTAGCGTGCGCGCGCTGTATCATAAAGTCTGTCATTGAGTCGACTGGCGTGGTTTCGAATCCCGGTTGTACGTGACAAGGAGTAGGGTTGCCTGTCCAACCTCGTGGGTTTTCTCCGGGTCCTCCGGTTTCCTCCCACTGCTAAAGACCCCTACGCGCAAGCGAATTATTGTAATAAAATTAAACCATATGTTAGTCCCGAAATGACCTAGTTTGTGTCGAGTGGACGTTAAACCCTATTTCTCTCTCTCTCTCTTAAAGCTGTTAGATTATATTTTTTGTTCTGTTCTAGTCAACTACTGATTTAATGTCTGGTTATCAGTGTCACAATAATAATGGTCATCCAGTGAGTAGTACAACAAGCACCTGTTTGTTAAATCACATAATCACAAAGTTTCAATAATAATAATAATAATAATAACCATTTTTATCAGGGCCTGTCTTGATCACAAACCATTTTAATCCAGTAAAAGTTTAGTGGTTTGATTGGATTGCGTTCTTTCGATTAGTGTTGTTTTCTGTTTCAAAATGCTGCTCGAACTCCTTGAACTACTTGGGTTTCTTTAATACCTATGTAGTTAGCGGGTGGGTGAGTGAAGTGAGATAGCCTACTGGTCAAGCATTTCGTGCTTAGATTTCTAGCTGTGGCTTGCGGTTGTTTTGATCCCTGATGTTACACTGTAAACCGGGTATCATTTAATTTTGTGTATCTACCACTAATTTCTTTCAGGTTCGTTTAATATCAAATCTTTGGTGAAAAATTTTTCAAAATCATTTAAAATCACCCCAAATCATCTAATTTGTACTCACGTCCAGTTTAAAGCTAACTGATTAATTTTGATAACGAGTGTTCAATTTACAAGTATTTAATTTCAATTGGGTTGTTTATTTTTTAACAGTGATTGAGAAATTAAACACTTGTAAATTGGATACTCATTATCAAAATTGAATAGTCGGCTTTAAACTGGACACAAGCAAGTACAAATTAGATTATTTTTGGTGATTTTAAACGATTTTTACAAATTTTTAAACAAAGATTTTATATTGAATGAATGTGAAAGAA